AAAACTAAATAAATAACATTTTCACAGAAGAAAGAAAAAAGATACTACTAATTAAATAGTCATTTGTATTCCAGATTAACAGGAATACGAAAAAAAAAAGCATTTAACTCTGAAAATTAATTCGGTAAATTACTGTTTTCGTCAGAGGGCTGTCGGCAAGGCAGAGGAGCTGGTGAAAGCTCACCAGGAGTATCAGTGGGACCTTCATTCCTTTGAGGAGTGGCTGAAGGAGGAAGAAGAGAAGCTCAGCTGCTACACCCAACTTGAGGGAGATGTGGACATGTTGGAGGATACCCTCCAAAAGCTGCAGGTTTGAAACCAAACGCCACTGATGCTTTTCTGCTGATGTCAGCAAGCATGACGCACGATAACGAACACTTAGATGCAAGAAACTGCATCTAATTGATAAAAAGAGCGAAATTATGAGTGTGATCAACAGGGAACTGTTTAATTCCAGGAACTGCAGCTACACTGCACAGAAGGCCAGGCTCTGCTGAACACCTTGTTGCTTAGCCGGGAACTGGTCGTCCCCTGGGGTCTGCCTCAGATAGAGGACCGGGCACTGGAGACGCTCCAGCAGGAATGGAGGCTCTATCAGGCGCAGCTGGCAGACACCCGCGCTCAGCTGAACAGCGCCCTGGCCAAACTACGGCAGATGGAGCAGAAGTTCCAGCGTCTCGACAGCTGGCTGAAAGGCATGGAAACCAAAGCGCAGCTGCGCTCCAATCGGCGGTCTGATCGAGCCACGAAGAGCGCTCAGCTGCAGATGGTGAAGGTCGGTAAACTGACGGGAAAACCAATGAACTTATCATTTTCCATTCTTATGATGCAGTGAGTTTGGGCTGATTGTGACGCTCCAGTTTTACATTTGCTGGATGACAAACTGGTTTGTCCTGCGTTTTAAAAATCTGTGTTAACAATTGGAGCATAAATCCCAACAGTAAACATATTCCCTCTTTCTTTTGTAGAGCTGGCAGGAAGAAGTCCTTGTTTATCAAGAGGAAATGGAGGGCCTTACTCTTTTGGCTCAGCAGGTTCTGGATGAAACCCACATTAGCAGTCGGATCAGTACCAGAGCCACCCAGATCACAGCCCGCTACCATGCCCTGCTCCTGCACTTACTGGTAACAGTAGCTAATTACAAAATAACTCTAAAATTAATCCAATCTGTTTTATTTAACCACATCGTCTGCACTTGTTGGCATTGTTACACAGAGATAAACAAAGAAACAAATGTTTTCATATAGCTTTAAACTTTTGCTACTTTAAACCACAAAATATTGTTGTATTCTTTTGGAATATTAAGTAGAAAGTCTCTATGTCCAGTGTATGTCTCTGTTTGAAAATATTTGTGTTTCTAGCCAGCAGGTTGTGTGTTTCTCTGTACATTATTTGTGTATTTTTATCAGATCATCACATTTAAGAGTATTTGACTTGAAAAATACCAACAACCAGTGAATATCGGAAAGATAATGCAACATGGAACGTTTTTAGAAATTAAAGATCTTAAAAGTTTGACTTGTATTTATTTGCATGTAGCCCTAAATATAATACTTAACTATTTAAAAATCCTTCATCAGGCATTGTGCATAAACAGGGTTTACCCCAGAAAATTTACTAAGCCTGATGCTCGGGGGACTAGGGCAGTCATACAGCCAGGAAACAAGTTTTTGAGTTAAAAAATGTTTAAAGTGGACAGGAAATTTGAAAATATTACTTGATAGCTCTGCATTATTGGAAGACTGGAATGTTAATACCTAAATGCCACCTATAAAGTCTTTAAAAAAGGCAATAATTAAGAGAAAACTGAAATAAATAAATGATGCTAATCCTGGTGGGGGCACAAGTATAGCCTGGTGGCCCACCAGGCTTATAACACACTATGGGAAACTCTGCATAAACAGTTTCTGTAAATTAAATTTTTTCGGTTAGACATCTCCTATTTTAACCACTGCAGATTTTCCTATTTTGTCTTTTATAACACAGGAGACGATCAAGCAGCTCCAGGAGGAGGTGTCTTCGATTGAAGAAGCACAGTGTGTCTTCACCACGTTCTCAGAGTGGCTCAGCACAGCTCAGAATAACTTCAGCACCGTAGCTATTAGTGTTGATGTAATCGACCGCTTTGCTTTAGAAAGAAAGATGAAGAAACTTGAGGTAGAGTTTTCAGCGCAGTGTTCACGTTCTATTTGTTTATCTAAGCTCGACTTAGATACTCTATGCTATGCACGAATATTGTTTAGCGTGTTTTAACAACATTTTATGTCACTTCAGACTCTTCAGGGTGACATGGAGCAGGGTCACACTTACCTGAAGGCGATGAGGGAAAAGACTGAGCAGGCCATGGCCTTCTTGGAGGAGCCTGAGGCAGATCATCTCAGGGAGGAAGTGGACATTCAGCTCTTTCAGCTGGAGGAGTTAACGACTTCTCTACGCACAGAGCACAGCTCGCTTGAGAAATACATCTCACTCTCCAAGGACTTCATGGATAAATACAAAACCCAAGCCCAGTGGGTGAAAGAGACAAAGAACTTTTTAGCGTCAAGTTTAGAACCAAAAGCCGAACTCTACCAGAAAAAAGCTCAGTTGGCAAAATATAAGGTAAGTTTATCTTCAGTTAAATTGTGATTTCTTTTCGCAAAAAATGGATTCAATGTTTCATTTTCTTCTCATTTGTTTAGACCATTCAGCAGACGGTAGAGTCCCATGAGCCAGCTGTGAAGTGCGTCGTTGAGAAAGGAGAGGCTCTCCTCAATTCGTTTAGCGACCCGACCATCAGCGAAAACATGAAAAAGTTACAGGCTGATTATCAGGACCTTTGTTTGGCAGCCAAGGTACGCACATGACAAACGAGTTCAGTTCATTTTTAAAGCAAAAACTGGTTGATTGCCTCTAATTTTCATTAGTTCATTATTATGCCTTTCACAGACTAAATGACCTTTTTGATATTTGGTTTAATGTTCCTTGCTTGTTCCTTCATTGCAGAGAATCCATGTTTTTTTTGTTTTTTTTTTTTGTTGTTGCTATCAACAAGTTACCAGCATAAATCTGGCTTGATAACTGAGCTCTCCACTTATCAGAACTGGTAGAGCTCATTTTAATTGTTTGGTTTGCTGCCACAAACGTAGTTTTTCAGTTGACATGGATACATTTAACACATTTTTCATAAGTTTAAGGTGAAGCCCTTTACACAGATGCTTGATGTTGATCCCATTTAAAGCCAGTTTTTTATGTATTAAGGCATCGTTTTCATTTAGTAAATTGGATCAAACTTGAATTGGAACAACCAAATATTCCTCATGTCGTTCTGGTCAAAATATCCACGTGTGGTTTCTCTACAACTTACGAAGGAACATTTTTTCAAACATTGGTAAGGTTAGAGAAAATGTGGATTTGAGGAAATCCACAATTCAGATTCAAAAATGTGCATCTAATTTTCATTTGTGCTTGTTGTAGACACATGTGCAGAGCCTTGTGGAGTGGGTAAAAGAGCACGAAGATTACAACAGCGAGCTGCAGGAAGTTGAAAAATGGTTGTTACAGATGTCCAGCAGGCTTGTGACCTCAGACTCCATGCAAACTGGAAACATGGAGATGGCAACTCAGCAACTCGCCCGACACAAGGTGAACAACGTCACAATCAGTTTTTACATTTTATTCCGTTGCTCTTTGCACTGATGCATTTAAACAGCATGCATCACCTTCCCTTCTGTTTGTGTTGATGTTTTTAGGCCATGATGGAGGAAATAGCCAGTTTTGAGGAACGCCTTACCAGCTTGAAGCAGAAAGGAGAAGGTCTTATAGCCGGCTGCACAGAACAAGTTCAAGTTCAGGCTAAGATTAGTCAGCAAGTCCAGGCCCACCTGCAGGGAACAAGAGACAGCTACTCTGCCATCTGCAGCACTGCCCAGCGTGTGAGTCACAGATATACACAAGTATTCATTCATGCAGTAGAAAAAAACTGGTACAAACAATTTTTTTTAGCTGTATTTAATTCATTAGGTGCTGATTGTTCTCGTCTAATAGGTCTACCAGAGTTTGGACCGGGAGTTGCAAAAATATGTCAGCCATCAGGACACTCTGCAGCAATGCCAAACCTGGCTCTTGACTGTGCAAGAAGAGCTTCAGCTCAACGATCAGGGGCCCACCGGCCTTCAGGAAGCTCTGAAGCAGGTGCTGAACGTCACACAGGCTTTGAAATTTCAAATACCGATCGCTTACTTTGTTTATTTTTCAAATTTATTTCTATTACCTACTGTTACTCACACAGGTGAAGCACTACAGGGCTCTTCAGGAGCAAGCCAGCACATACCTGGACCTGGTGTGTTCTGTGTGCGACCTCTCGCATGACGCGGTGAGAGTTGCAGCTGCTGAGGTCCAGCAGATCAAGCTCATGGTCAGTGTTATTCTCGCTTTATTCCACGTGTAACATGTCTGCTTTACTTGAACTCAGGAGTTTTGAAGTCGACATAAATAATAAATAATTCATACCTTAGTAAATTCAGACTTTAAGTTACTTTTATTCATGAATGAACTTTGTTTCTGACAGGAAGTGACAGGAATCACATAATAGATGAAATAAATCAACAAGGATTATCATTAAAAAATGAGCACATCTCTCTGTTTGCATTTTATCAAAGATGGCATTTTAAAAATTATGTTTTCCTTTCTTAGTAATCAATGAAACAGCCTATTACTTTATTACAACAGTCTAAGCCATCCTCGTATCACCTTTTTGCATGCTTCCAGAGAGATGTATGTCAACATCTCTCTATTATAACGAGTCTCTGAGGTTGAAGGGACTCCTTACCATCACCCTAATTCTTAACTCCTCCACAAATTCTCTGTCATTTCAAAACACTAATACTACTTTCACTCAGAAGAAACATGTCAAACAGATTAAAATCTAAATCTGAAAGTTTGGGCTTAACTAAATCCACAGGCTGAAGTCAGTGTAGCTACTCGTATTGTGAATCTGACACCTGTCTCTGTCTCTGTGTGCAAATTACAAGAGGTTATTGGATTATAAGTACTAAAGTTTTGGTTTCTTTGTGAGCAGATAGAAGAAAGGATGTCTACTGCCCAAGAGCTTTCAGAAAGCTGGAGGGAGATCAAAGAGCAGAAACAGGATCTAACAGGCTTGTTCCAGGACATGGAGCAGCAGCTTCTCAGCCTCTCGAGAAGACCAGCAGAGCTGGAGACGAAGATTGCTCAAAACATGTTGTTACAAGCCCAGGTGGGTACAAGCGTCACTAGAATCATCGCATTGACCTTGCACCTTTTTTCCTGTGTATTAGCCTTTGGTGTGAGAGGAGACATTTAATCACTAGTCCTATTGCCTGTGTCTCAGGAGTGCTGCCAGCAGCTGCAGTCCAAACAGAGCACCCTCACTAAAATGACAGAGACCGTGAGCCGACTGATCGGCAGCCAGGACACTGCAGAACACGCAGAGCTTGATCGTCTGAGCCACGCTTGGCTTGAGCTCTGCCACCAGGCGAACAAGCTCCAGACCCAGAGAGAGGAGGATCTGCAGAGATCCAAAGATTACCATGACTGCATCACTGCAGTGGAGGAGCTGTTTGAGCAGGTGTCCAAAGAGTGGGACAATCTGGCAAGGTGGGTTTGAACATAAGGCAGAACCTCTAATCGGTAAAATTAATTAGTGATATGACCAAATGTGTTAAATTATAGATGTAGTTTTTGGCTTTCATCCTTAATTTTCTACATTTACTTTCATGATGTTTTTTTTTATACAGTAGCTTAGTATATGAGCTACTGTAAAATACTTTATATATATATTATTCAGTGAAATAACACTAAAACAGGACTTTACTATTTTAAATTCAGGAATATTTGATGGTGACAGTTTTTAGCAGTTTCTGTCATTTTTATTAGTGATTAGCAAAGTTAGCATTGCTAACTGTAACATCAGTCTGTGTGTATTTCCAGATTGTAAATATATCAACCTAGTGTGAAAGTCTGTTAATAAATCCTTAGAAGTTTAACAATTTTAGACCCAAGTTTAAAATCTCCACCTGGATATTTTTGCTTATTTTAATTGTACGCAGCTCTTTAAATGTCTTGTGAGTAAATATATTTGCCCATACATCCATAACAACTGAAACTTTCAATATCTAGCAAGTTATTTTCGCAATTTACCATCCAGAAGAATAATCGTCAGATAAATTTGACTTGGGTGAAATTACCGTAAAAACCCGATGTTGGCTGGAAAGCACAACGTCTCCCCTTTCAGAAACCGTTGGAATTTGTCAGATGGCACAAAATGTGGCAGAATTACGGTACATCGTCCATAAATCGTCGCCAATACGTTCGGTCTGTTAGAGTTAAGGGTGAAACCTGAAAAGAAAAAAATAAATATCAGTTTGTTGCTTCCGTGTGAACAAATGTTCAACAAATATGTAATGAATTGTTCGGGGGGTTTTTTATCGCCACAGAACCGACGCTGAAAGTTCATCTCAGCATTTGGAGGCTCTAAGAAAACTCGCTGTGACTCTGGAGCAACAAAAAGGAGCCCTGGAGGACCTTAAAGAGCAGAAACAGAAAGTCATCCAGCATTTAAACTTGGACGACAAGGAGTTGGTGAAAGAGCAAATCAGTCACTTCGAACAACGGTGGTCTCAGATGCAACACCTGATCGAAAGGAAGATCCAGGACTCCACGGTGACCCTGGAGGACATGGGCCAAGTGGAGGCCCGTCTGAGAGAGGCCCGGGACTGGGCGGAGGAGCAGCAGCCCGCCCTGTCCGAAGCCATGAAAATGAGCCCCCCGCCCGAACTGGCCCAGAGTTTCCTGTTCGACCACCTGAGCATCTGCAGTGAGCTGGAGGCAAAGCAGCTCCTCCTGGCTCAGGCCATGGCCGACGCCGACAGGGTGCTGCCGCGGCTGGGCCTCAGCGAGCGCCAGCACCTGCAGCAGCTGATTTCCGACACGCAGTCGGAGGTGGAGTCTCTGAGCGTCAAGGTGGTGCAGCGGAGAAAACACCTCAGCAAGGCTTTTACAGAGAGGACGCAGTTCCTAATGGCTGTCAGTCAGTCCATTTCCTGGGTTCAGCAGAACGAGAAGAAGGCCCAGGCAGAAGAATACATCGCTTTGTTACCCGACGACCTGGCTAAGCAGGTGCGAACGTGCAGGAACATCCAAAGCAGCCTGAAGGCCTATCAGAGCGAGCTGACCTCCCTGTGGTCCCAGGGGAGAGACCTGATGAGGGAAGCCAGCGACGAGGAGAGGAATGAGATTCTCACAAAGTTGCAGGAATTACAAAATATCTTCGACAGAACTCTGCACAGATGCGGCCAGAAGCTACAGGAGCTCGAAAAAGTACTCATCTCGAGAAAGTACTTCAAGACCGACTTGGAGAAAATCTGCCAGTGGTTGAAGCAAGCTGATATTATCACGTTCCCCGAAATAAACCTAATGGTGGGAGACGGTGAACTGCAAGCGCAGCGATCGAAGTACCAGCAGATAATCGAGCAGGCCGTCGAGTACGAGAACCTCCTCCTGATTGTGCAGAGAGCAGGCCAAGAGATCCTGCCCACTCTGAACGAAGTAGACCACTGCTATTTGGACGAGAAACTCAACACCCTCCCTCAGCAGTACAACAGCATACTAGCTCTGGCCAAAGAGAAACAGGAGAAAATCCAGCAGGCCATCCTCACCAGGAACGAGTACACGTCCTTCATAGACGTCACCCACAAAGCCCTGAAAGAACTGGAGGACCAGTTCAACAACCTGGGGACTCAACCCGTCGGCCTTCAAACGGAGGAGGTCGTCATTCTGCAGAGCGACTACAAAGCAATTCTGGCGGATCTCGGCAACCTGGGTCTGGCTGTGAGCGAGCTGAATCAGAAGAAAGAGGGCTTTCGTAGCACGGGGCAACCGTGGCGGCCGGAAGAAATGACTCAGCTCGTGAGCTTGTATAACGGGCTAAAGAGGCTGGTGGAGCAGAAAGTCGAGCATCTGGATGAAACTCTGGAGTCTTTCGAGGACCACAAGGCGATGGCTATGCAGGTGGACTCCCAGTTGAAGGCCACAAAAGAGCAGCTGGTGAAAGTGAACGCAGAGACTCAGTCTGCAGAAGAGAGGCTGAAGAACTACCACGCCCTGGCGGGAAGCCTACAGAGCGCCAACTCCCACTTGTCGAGGCTAATGGAGCAGATGGACTCTCTAGCGCCCCGTGTGGACCAAGCGGCTCACGACGCGTCCAAAGAGCAGGTCGTTTTGTGGCAGGACGAGCTGCGATCGCTCCAGGCCGCAGTGGGCGAACTGATCGAGGAATGCGAGAACAGGTTCATCCAAAGCAAAGACTTTGAGACGGAGATGAAGAGGACGCTGGACTGGCTGCAGCAGATCCGGGACGAGCTCAGCTGTGCTGTCATCGTTGACGTCAGAGTGGAGAAAGTGCAAGAGGAGATCAGAAAGCAGCAGATCTTGCAGGAGGAGGTGCAGTCCCGACTCAGAATAGTGGCCGCTCTCAGCAGCCAGGAGAAGCAGGAGTACATTAGTGCCAACGAGCTGGTCCCCGCTCATGTTGATATGAGCCTCGAAGAAATGGCAAAATTGCAAGCAGACGTCCAAAAAGCCCTGAGTGCCAAACAGGTGGGATAATTTTGACTTAACCACAAACTCTTAATTCTCAACTTGATACTCTGTGGCCACACTGTTTACTGTCTTACCGTTAGGGGCGAGCAATATGGACTTCAAGTTTTGTCACAATATTTTGTGTTATTATTGTGATAAGAACTATTTGTTATTTCTGTATGACTGTGACTGTGTGTCACAGCAATTATAGCCCCACAAACACAAATAACGCTCTTGAAAAACATTCCTATTTGTGACTGGTGTCTTTAGGACACCAACTAGAAAGTCTTCAAAAAGGCAATCATTAAAAAAATAACAATCCAAAGCCTGGTGAGGGCACAAGTAAAGTCTGGTGACCCGCCAGGTTTATGATGCACTGAGGGAAATCCTGAACTTTATTTTCAAATTTATTGACATTTATTGATGCTTTACTTGAACAAACAGTGGAGAAAATAGTAAAACTAGCAATGCTGACAATATAATGTCTTGAATGGGTGAGGATGTGAGGAAACAAAGCGATATTGTGAAGTTTAAAGTCCTGTCGAGTCTTTACACCACTGAAATAAAAAGCAGAATTGAACTGAAACAATTAGGTCAACGCTAATCTGTCTGTCTTTTCTCTTCGGTTTTATGTGAAGATTACTTTGGAGGAAGCCTTGGTTCTGTGTCAGAAGTATCACTTCAGGATGCAGTCAGCCTGCGAATGGCTGGAGGATGCCGTCTCTTTCCTCCAACAAGCCAGCTTGGGAGTCGATGTGGAGAACTACGAGGAGTGTCTGCGGCAGCAGGCGGACATCATGTCAACGGAGCAGGAGTTTCTCATCCATCTGGAGGAACTGCAGACGCTCCTCCCACAGCTGGAGAACCTGGTGAACCCCACAGCGAAAGAGCAGCTAAGAGTGAGCGTGGAGTCGGCGAAGCAGAGAGGAGTTGAGGTCCGAGAGCAGCTCCAGTGTCACCGAGATGTTCTGCACAGGTACGGTTTATAAGGCAATGATGACAATGATCCAGGTTGTCAGATCAATTTCATTTTAATCTGTAAGATCATTGGAATCTAATTAATTATTCTTTTCTCAGCTGTGTGGCCCAGTGGAAGTCATTCCAGGAAGCGAGGCAGACTGTCATTGAATTAATGAACGAAGCCGAAAAGAAGCTCACAGAATTTTCCACAGCCAAGGCGGCCACAAACCAGGAGGCCGAAGACAAGCTCTGTAGCCACAGGGTATGCATCGTGTTGCCTTGCAAATATATTAATAGCCCGTTGAACTGATTCACATTTTTACAGTAGTATTTCAAAATTCAACATAAAGTTGTTGTGGTTTGAAAGAAAATGATTTTTAGAAATACAAATCTGAAAACTGTAGTGTGCGTTTGTATTCAGCTCATGCGCAGCACAGTTTAATACATAATTATTTGTGCTGATAAAATTAAAATACATTCAAGTTTGTTGTTGCAACTTGACAAAAGTCATAAATCTCTGTTTTTTCTGTTTAGTCCCTGGTGTCACTTGTGAACGGGTTTCAAGAGAAACTGAGCGGTTTAGAAGAACAAGCTGCTCAGCTGGAGCTGGTGGGGAGTGACGCCAGCAAAGCCACCATCAGTCGCTCCATGACCACCGTGTGGCAGCGCTGGACGCGCCTGCGCAGCGTAGCGAGGGGACAGGAAAGAGTACTCGAGGACACGGCCCAGGAGTGGAGAACATTCAGAGAAAAGGCAAATAAATATACAGCCTGAATGCAAAAAAAAAATCTTGCAAATTTAACCGAAAATTAAAACTTTGCGATACAAAATGTCTGTTTTGTTGCAGATGGTGAAAGTACGAGCGGTTTGTGAGGAGCTCCAGAGCCGTTTCCCTGACAGCGCTGTGGAGAAGGCGTCCAAAGCCACTCTGCAGTCTCTGCTGGATCAGCACGACTTGCTGAGCCAAGACCTGGAGCGGGAACTCTCGTCCCTCATGCTGCTGCGCCAGTACGCGCTCAGTCTTCTGCACGACGTGGAGGTGCCTTCACCAACAGCAGATCAAGACGAGCTGCCTAGCTTAAGAGAAATCAGGGCGGTCCAAGACCAAATGGAAAGGTAACAGGTCGGACCAGAGTTAGTGTTGCTCTTAATCTGAGGTTTCTTTGTCTTACAAATGGCTTTGTAAAATAAGCACATGCATTTGGTAAAAGATGCTGTTGAATATTTATTTTGACATTTGCCTGCAGCCTTTTGACACAGTCCAGAACCAAGCGGGCCCAAGCAGCTCAGGAGCTCAGGGAAAGGGAGGAAGTGGAAAAGGAGCTTGGAGTGGTGAAAGCCTGGATCCAGGAGACCAGAGAGCTTCTTCTCAATCCCACCCCAGATATCGATTCTCTGTTGCAGGAACTTGAGGTGTGTCTGTTGTTTTTTTTTTTTTGTAGAGATGCACCCATAAAGGTTTTCTGACTGATTTCTAATCCCTCTTTTTTTTTGTACAGCTTTGAACTGCTGATATAAACTATAGATAAATCTACTTTCTGCTTAAGAGCTAAACATTTTTTTAATTTTCCAGCCATGACTGTGCATTAATTAAGTCATACTGCTTGTATGAGAGGAGTTAAAAAATGTAAACAGATTTTATTATAAGTCATTGCTCAAATTTTCTTTAGCATCTTGTATTAGCATTTGGCGCAGTTAGCATCAGCAACTGTAAACATCTGTCCTCTTGTATATTGCTTAGAAAACGTATCATCTTATTTTCACCTTGTTCCCTAGCAGACAAAAACTGGAAGTCCAAAAAAATAAAACCTTTGCTATTGTAGCCTTCCTGTTATCTGTTAAAAGTCTTGCTCTCTCTTGCTTTGTTTGGAGCCTGTATGAACTATATATAAAATATAAACAGTCTTCATGTCCTGAAGAAATCAGGAGCATTTTAAATAGCTTCTTATCTCTCCGTTCTTCCTTTGACTTTGTTTTTCCCAACACTCCACCGAGGGTGTAAATAGTTAAATCTGATTATTCTTCCTTCAGTAATAGCATTCACACCGAAGAGTGTTGCTGTGACCCCAAACCCTATGGCTCTTTGGTGTATTTGTTAATTGGAACAGATTCGATTTTTTTAATTTCAGGGCTGATCAAGTTGAATATTGTCAAATTTTGGTCACCAGTCAATACCTTGATTAATATCTTTATCAGGATAGTTGTATCGTACAAACATACTGAAGTTTATTTTAATTTAACTAATGTTTGCATCACATAATGTGTTCCTTGAATCAAAGTATGGAAAGTGGAAGCTGCTAACATCAATATACATGTACTGCTGTTATTTTCTTTTAAATTGTTTTTTTATTCTGTATAGATTGTACACGGGGAAGTAATTAATTACCGGCAGAACGTGGACAAGTTAGCCGAACAACAGCAGAGCAAGTACCTGGACCTTTACACCATCCTCCCATCTGAAATCTCCATGCAACTCGCCGAGGTCTCTCTTGCACTCGGGGCGATTGAAGATCAGGTAAATCAGACCTCATAGGAAATACTCAGCTCAGAAAATTGTTCTGGTTTTCTAACCTGATTTTCACATCGTTTTGTCTGATGTTCCAGGTTCTATGTAAAGAGAGAGAATATCAGAGAACGAGAGAAATAAAGGAGGACTTCGGCTCCAGAATCCACGGCATGTCAGACAAGCTGAAGACGATCTCAAACAAGTTCAAGGAGAAATCTCCTGATGTCGATCATGCCAAAGAAGAGGTCAAGGTAGGTCTTGTTTGTCAAGTTAACATATGTATTACTCTGAAATATGATTCGCTTTGCCCTTAACAACAAAGAATTGAATTTTATCCTCAGAGTCTTTTTGAAGATTTGGACTCCTGCGGCCGCACATTGTCAGAACTGGACACCGCTGTACAAGAGTTCGGCCGGAGAAACCCCCTGCTGGCCAAGCAGCTCAGTGATGCTATAAACAAGCTGTCAGAGATGCATCATCATACAACTCGATTAGCAGACTGCAGGAACAACTGGCTCAAAAAGGTTTGCGCTTTTTACCCTGCTCCTAACTTAACCCTGTCATGCATGAATTATGATCCTTTGTGTCAGGATTTTTTTCGCAAATTTTTTTTAAATATATATATATATATATATATATATATATATATATATATATACATTTTAGGTGCTCAATTGTAATTTTCTCCAAATACAAAGTTGTTATTTGAAAAATACATCAGTAGTATTGTTCTTTAGAGGTTATCTGATGTCACAATATTTTTTTTTACCTGCTAGCGTTGTCTACAGTAGAAGGAGAGACCTGGTCGGTCGGCATGCTGTTTTGTCTGTCGGCCATATTGGATTTAACAAAAATAATTTTGTGCATTTGCAGCTGATGGCCAGTAGTTGATGGTGTATTTTATGATGCGTTAGTGTCCACTTCAGTGGTCTGTGGGCATTTATAGCATAAAAATCCACCAGAAGCACAAGAAAATGGCTTTTAGACAACTGTTCACTGTAGTGACCGCTATGCATGAAAGGGTTAAAAACAGACGGTACTTTCCAACCGCGTTACTGTGCCTTGTAAAGGTTACTACTACAAGCATTAGTGCATTGTGTTGAGGTTGTATGATATATAGAGCAGTCTTATTTCGGATCCCATCATTTTAAATAAAAAAAAGGGGGATTTATTTATTTTTTTTATTTAAAAATATGGAAAACTGTGAGTCTTTTTCCTTCCACTTCACAAATACAGACTACTTTATTATGTTGCTCTATCACCTAAAAGCCCAGTAAGTTTGTGGTTGTAATCTCATAACACGAAAAGAGTCGAGGCTCATGAATACCTTTGTAAATCCTTTCGCTAACACAAAAGGTTATTAACATGTGTCTGTTGTTGACTGTTTAGGCTGTCTGCTATTTAGACGAGTATAACGAGATGCTGGACTTCATAGTGAGGTGGTCAGAGAAAGCTAAGAGCCTGGTGAGAGCAAACATCATCTGGAACTCCTCTGTTCACCTGCAGGAGCAAATACGGATGTATCAGGTGAGCGGAGCAATTCTGACGTTTCATCGACCGAGTTTTGTTTTTGCATATTTAGAAGGGTAACCTGTAGGAGTACTTTGACACGTACTTTTATAAAGCAGGACAGATTGACTAATAATTTTGTCACCCTTGTGCTCAGGCGGTTTTCCGTGAGTCTCGAGAGCTCCACAGCGACCTGGAGTCTATGGCAGAGAAAGTAGACCTTCTGTCTGAGGTGCTGCAGGTTGAGTCCATGAGCCAGGAGGTGTGTGAACTCAGCAGACACACCGATGAGCTGCAACAGAGCATCAAGACTCGATTGCAAAGCCTCCAAGACGGACACAAGGTGCAGTAAAAACGGTGTTTTGGGATTTTCGTTTGGTAGAAAAATTCAAAATTTTAGATTAATCTATACATGTGGGTTTTTTTAGAGTATGGAAGCTCTGGAGTTTGAAGTCAAGGCCCTGCACGTTGCTCTGGAGCAGGTCCAAGCCACGCTGACGTCACCGGAGTTAGCCCGGCAGAGCCTCAAAGAGCAACTCATTCAGAGACAGGTGCCTTCTTCATTCGCTTTTTAACTCACCACGTTCTCTCTGCTGGCGTCATAAAACTTTTTATGGGTTTTGCAGCGGCTACTGGCCGACATGGAGAGCTTCAAGCAGCAGGTGCAGGCGGTGCAGCTGTGCCAGAGCGCCCTGCAGGTCCCAGAGGAGGTGATGCCCAACCTGGCTATTTGTCGCACGGCTCTCCGTCTGCAGCAAGAAGCTAGTCAGCTGCAGCATGTGGCAATACAGCAGTGCAACATACTACAGGTGCTACAGTACAGTTCTTCCAGTATGAGTCTAGTTTTAGCACACAGAAATGAGGAAATGAATCTGCTAATGTAGCAATGTATATAAAAAAAAAACAACTAATTCTGTGTTTTTGGTGTCCAGGAGGCGGTGGTTCAGTATGAGCAATATGAACAGGAGGTGAGAGATCTGCAGGCGCTGATAGAGGAAGCACATCGGGTCATTCAGGACCGACCGATCCCCACCAGCAACATTCAGGAGCTGCAAGCCCAGATTCTGCACCATGAGGTGAAACATCTTCATTCTATCTATAACTCACATGTTGGGGAATAATTGAAAACCCCTGAATGTAAATAAATTAGAAAACATTTTCTTTATTTTTACATTTTTTCTCGTTTGTTTAGGAACTCGCTCAGCAGATCAAAGGCTACCAGGAGCAAATAGCTTCACTGAACTCAAAGTGTAAGATGCTGGCGGTGAAGGCCAAGCATGCCACCATGCTGCTGACTGTGAGCGACGTGGAAGGACTGCCTGAGGGGCTGGAGGACCTGGATGAAGAAAAGTCCAGGAAATCTTCAGGACAATCTGTAGTTGTAAGAGGATTTTTCCAAATTTCCAAACTGAAGAAATTAGGTTTTGTTATACAATGCTGATTCTTAGTTTTTCTCAATTCATCAGCCTATGAAGTTCTTCTGCTGTTTCAGTTTTTAAAAAAAAACAAACATCCTGATTAATATTCTCCTAAAATCCTCACACGTCTTCTGTTGTTTCTCGCATGGTCTGTCAGATGACGGCTGGCCGCTGTCACACTCTGTTGTCCCCGGTTACTGAGGAGTCTGGGGAGGAGGGCACCAACAGCGAGGTCTCCTCCTCTTCTTTGTGCCGCTCTCCTTCTCCTGTCTCTCACGCTGAAGGCCCTTTCACCAAGGTTTCTACCCTCCTCTGCTCTTAATTCTGCCAGATAACCAAATAACTGAAATATCTTTATTCTTAACTCTTCTCTGTGAACGGTGTGTGGTGTAACTCTTGAACTGCTTTCATGTAATAAAGGCGGTAAATAAAAACAAAAACAGAACTCGGCCACCGACGTTGATTTCACCTTGGAGGTTTCTCATGAGTAGTGATGTGTTTCTCTGTTTTCTGCAGCTTGGACGTGGAACCCTCACCAGAGCTCCAGTTCAGGAATTATACGATCCGACATTTGAGTCTGTGGCAAACTTAGACGACCTGCAGCGCTCATGGGAGACTTTAAAGAACGTGGTATGTGAAAAGCTCTGTATTTTATTTAATCAGTAGCATGGCTTCATTAAATCCTAGCGTTTTAGAATATGATAACTTTGAATTAAAATGTTGGGGTGTGCAACGATTTTGTTTTCTTTTTTTCTTTTTTAGCCACTAGATTTCATCATATTAAAATTTATCTTAGTAAGATAGTTAATCATAGACCAAGCTGTTTGGAAGTCAGTTTTATTGTTACTGATGTTAATGACTTCCCAAATTGACCGTTTGTGTGTGTTAATGCTCACTGACCCACAGATAAGTGAGAAGCAGAGATCCTTGTATGAGGCTCTGGAAAAACAGCAGCATTACCAAGGTTCGCTCCAGTCGATCTCCTCTAAAATGGAAACACTGGAGTCCAAGCTCAGTGAGCCACTGGAGGTGGACAGAAGCCCAGACAGCAGCATGAAGGCCCATGAGGTGAGGGCTGTAAATACACTTCTTCCATGTAGAGTGTCTTTGTGGAGCTTTTTAGCCTGTGATGTTACAGTGAAGCATGAACATTGGTGGAAATAATCCTGAATCACAGCCATGAAATCACATTTTAACTGATGTTAATGTTCCTGTGGTTCAGATTGAATTTCTGTTTTACATAAACATAGTTTTTATTTTCGTGACTTTTTTTTTTTTTTTTTGGTGTTTGACGGCATATTTACAACATTGAATCCATTCCATAAAACTAAATCGGATTAGAAGTTTTCAGGAAAACAGACGTAAGGAAAACCTTTTCCTCATCTGTCTGTTCAGGATCTCATCCAGGAGATTCACAGTGTCCAGGGAGAAATCGACAGGCTGCAGGCGGGCTTCACAGAGGACGTCGCTGCCGACGCCGTGGACTCGGATTTGGCCGACCAGCTTGCCATGCAGTCTTCACTCGCTGTGCTGGCTGAGCGGATGGCCACCATCCAAATGAAAGCTTCAGGGAAACTACAACTACTTGAGGTAACAAACAATTTAGAAGATAGAAATATACAATAAAACCCAGCTTGAGCTCTTAATAAGACATAAAAACTGAACACAAGATATTTCCAGCAGATTTTAATCACTTTTTTAGCAAATTCAATTCGATCTGTCTTGTTGCAGGAGCGCGCCACAGACCGCCTGGAGGATCAGCGTCAGGAAAAGGCTTTGCAGTCCTACCACACCGACGTAGACGAACTGGATCAGTGGCTGACTAGAACGCGTGGCGCTGTAACGTGCATCCTCGACACTAGACCCGCAGAGGAGGCCGATGAAAACCACCAGCTCACTGAATGCCAGGTGGGCACTTGAGAGTTGTCTTAAAAATCCACATTAATAACAATTAAATACATTTTCAACTACAAAGGGCTTCTAGATATGAGCAGAGTTGATCGTAACAAACTGAGCACACTGCAAAATCTCAAAATCGTACCAAGTATTTTTGGTTTATTTTGTAGTGCAAATATTTTAGACAAAACTAAATTTACAAGTAACTTTTTCAGAAAGAAATATGACCTTTTTTTTAAGTAAGTGATTCCTTAATCTTGATGAAAAAGTACTAACTATAGGTGAAATAATCTGCCGGTGGAACAAGACATTTTAACTTATAATATAGGAAAAATGTCTTGTTCTGCTCAGACGAAACAAAAATTGATCTTTGTGAGGCAAAATCACATAAAAATCCAGTTCTAACTAACAAACAAGATAGTGGCAGCATTATGATGCGTGGAGGTTTTTCTTCTTCTGCAGTAAAAGGAAAGCTGGAGGTAGATGGATGGAGCTAAATCTCCATTCATTCAGTGGAGAAAGAAAAATCTCTTTCTCACACGCTGCTATTTTTGCAGCCAAACGTGGTTCTGCAAACTATAAACATAAGAAGGTTCATTCAAAGTATACTTTAGCATCAAATTTGAACAGAATTTTAAAAATTTTACCTCCTCGTGCCATGTCAGTGACTGTTGATTGATCACATACTTAAAGGAGAGAAACTGCATGTGCAAGACACATTAACATTCACATTTCCAGTATTATTCTGCATGCATGACGGGGGCTTCACAGAGAGTAAACAACAGCGTTAGTGAAGTTAGAGTTACACTCAGATACCTGGTTTGCTAAATGACTGCAGCATGAGCCTTAAGAAGATTACGGTCAGGTCTCTGTGGGACAGAGGCGTGGTAAAGCCACAGGGAGGAGTCACTGCCGTGAATACAGCCTACGATTTGTGCTACTAGTGACAAAGCTGCTTGAATATCCAAGTGGGGTTGAATGGAAGAGCAGTGAGGAGCAGGCAGGAGGGTGAACCTGCTGCAACACTTCGAAGGAGAACCAATACTTATGTCTGCTCATAAATTGGAACTTCTTTTACCAATGGGCATTGATGAACACCGGGGATGTAGAATGGTTTTTACCACGAGAGAACTGTTATCAAATTCGTTTGAGTGGATGTGCGCTGCAGAGCACGGAGTGTGAAGGATTAGTGCTAATATGTCGCACAGGAGAACAGGGCGGAAAGGGGGCTGAGGATGAGGGCGTCCTCTGCCCCGCGGCCGGGGAAAGCTGCCCTGCCCAGAGGCTCCGCTGCGTAGAGTTGAGATCAAAAAAAAAAAAAAGTGGAGACGTCATGTATGAGCTGGCCTCTCTGCTGCTGCTTCTGCAGAGCATGCTGCTGGAGATCGAAGAAAAAGTGCTGGCCCTCACCGAGCTGTCGGTGCGCAGCGAGAACCTGCTGCGGGAGGGCCGGGCCGACACCAGGGCGGAGGCCGAGCAGTTGGCCGCGAGGCTGCGCACGTTAAAGGGCGGCTTGCTGGAGCTGCAGAGAATGCTGCAAGACAAACAGCTGAGCATCCAGGTGAGCACTTTCTTTCACAACAGTGCAAAAGACTAGAGACGCACTGAGCCAATAATAATTGTTTCAGTCCCAATATTGAAAAGAATTCTAGATCGGGCATCAGTGAGAATGGACCCAATCCATATGGGGATATCTACTCAGTCTAATTCTATGCTTTGTGCTCTGAGCGACGTCATATGTTGAATTCCTGGTTCCATGAGTCCCCAGTCAGAAGCTAATGCCGTTTGTGGGTCACGTCTACTCCAAAAGTTTGGAAACCCCTTGTTTTAGGTGTTTTTGTGTTTTGACAGTGTTGCACGTTAGCCTGATTTACAATCCTAAAAACTGCTGCCTCCGTAGGGTTCTCTGCAAGAGCCTGAAGACAGCGAATCAGACTCCAGTCTCTCGTCGAGTCCCAGTGTGCAGGACTGGCTGGTCCAAGCCCGGACCACACGGACGCAACAGCATGAAGACAGTCTGCAGAGGCAGAAGGTGACAGTGGTTTGAATGGAGTGAATTCACCCATTGACATTTATAGATGTGTTTAAATGAGAAATGTTTTATTTATTTTTTGCAAAAATATTTAAAAACCTTGTAGCCTTTTTCTTTTAATTTGCTATTAAGCAGCACTTTGTGTGGGTCTGTCACAGGGCTTAAATGCAAAAAATTCAAGTATGAGTATGCAAATTGTAAATAAATTAAAGAGAGGCGTGAACACTGTGTCGAAACAGAAATATGGCAAATGATCAGGATAAATCCTAAGTCGTGTCATGTTGACTGAAGCATGTTTTGTTCCATCAGGCTGTAACCAGTGTGTGTGTTTTTTGAAGGAACTGGAGGAGCAGCTTGCAGAGCAGAAGAAGCTTCTGCAGTCGGTGGCGAGCAGAGGAGAGGAAATTCTCATCCAGCAAGCGTCGCCCAGCAGCGCCAGGTACGTTACCGACGCAGCACAGATCAGATCGAGCTTTAATAAGCTGAGCGCTAATCACAGATGCGTTTGGTTTCTGCAGCACGACAGAACCGTTCTCGCCTGCAGCTCTGTCTGAGAGCAGACGAGACCAGATGAGGCAGAGATGGGAGAGCCTCAGACTGGAGCTCAAAACTAAACTGCAGCTTCTGCAAAAAACTCTGGAGCAGGACCAAAAGCAGCCGGTACCGCATGTTTTTTTTTCTCCACATCTGGACGTGACAGAAAAATATCATAATGTGAGGAGTTTTTTTTTACTATCCTGTCTGTTTTTTTCTTCTTCAGGTGTTTTCTAGAGCGACTCGCGTGACATCATCTGGGCCGCTGTTTAAAGGAGATACCCAGCCTGACAACTCCTCTCTGAAAACTCTCTACGACAGCTTCAGACAGACAGTGGAAGGAATGACCACTCAGGTTATCACCTTCCTGACACTATTTCATGCATCCTAATGTGTGTTGTTGGTAAATATTGACGAAATAATATTGTTCGATGTGCATTTTTGTACGTAGGCTGGAGGTAGAGGTGAAACCCAGGTGGTTCAGATGGAGCAGCAGCTCTTCACGGCCGTGTCGACCACGTCTTCCTGGCTGGACGGAGTGGAGAACAACGTCTTCTCCGGCTCCATGCTCATGGCTGAAAATGCAGAGACCCAGTTACAGAATCAAGAGGTACAAAATTTACAGATTTTCTGTTACCAATTTTTGTCTTTATAAGGTATTTCTTCTTCACAACGTGTGGTTGCCCGGCTCTAAAAAAAATAATCTTAATTTTATAGCGTTAATAAGGTATTTTAAATTGTTCAAAAATATCAAAAATCCTCACTTTGCTTTCAAATCAATTTACTAAGAGGGCAAGTGGTGAACTGGCTGCTCCCTGCAGGAATTTAAAGTTAGATCGATGTGGAAAAGGATCAATGCAACCAAATCTGACAGGTTGATCAGGTCTTTCTGGTTCAGTGAGCCAGACCGTCTTGATGGCTCCTTTTTTGAGCTGCTTCTGTTTTTCTACTTTTTTTTCCCATCACGTTTGAACAGTAGAAGAAAGCGAGGAACGCAAAACAAACTGCTTCTTAAAAATTATCTTCAGGTTTGAAACGGCCAGTGAAAAACTTTAAAAATGGTGGCTGTTCGAGGCCAGAACAAGAAAAACAAAAGAAGTGGTTATATATTTCTATATTTACATTTTTTAAAACATTTATTTATTTTTCTGGCTTTGCATTTATCTTGATTGAAGGAGATGACTCTGTACCTCTTTTTTATTAAACATAATTCTCCAGATGAGTCCCCTAGCCCCCTCTTTGGGGGCCGCCTCTGGAAACAGCCTCACTCACTCAAGTTTTTTCACATGTAATTTAATAAGTTTGAAATTTCACACCCAACACATAACTCACTGTTTAGAGCTCAAACATTTTTCTGAGAACCTATGTGAGAAAAGTAAGACCCTTTACTTTACAGAATATGTTGACATGTAAAGACAGACATCAACAACACTCGCGTCTTGAAGGTTTTGAAACATCATATTTAGGATGAGAGTTTAGACTTGACCAGATTTCAAATCACGACAAAAACTGATTGAAAAGAGAAGTTAAATGTGCCTGAGAGGTCAGATCTCATTTGTTTGTATGCGCTACATTTCTCAGGTAATTTTAAAGTTGAATGCTACTTCTTTCTTTTTTTCATCCTCTCTACAGATCCTGGAAAAAGATGTGAAACACGTGACAGAAGAGGTGAAGCTCAGCCAGGCTCTGCTAGCTGGGTCTCCAGGGTTGAAACACGAAGACCGCGTGCTGCTGGAGGACAACCTGGACTGCCTCAAGGAGAGATTAGGAACGCTTGGTGGAGCTCTGGGTCAGCGGCTTGACCACATGAGGACCAGAGCACACAACCTCACCGCCTACCAGGTCTACCCTTTACTTTCCCTCTTTGTTTTTTCAATATTTTAAAATTTTATTGTACTGATTGGTAGCACTGTTATTGCGCATCTTACAGTCAGATTATTTGTCATCTTTTGTCTGAAACAGACTGAACTGCAGCTTCTCCAAACTGCTTTAATTGAGACTAAATGCCAGATCCTTCAAGCCCTCGCTGGAGCAATGGATAGACCAGCTTCAAAACAAATGGAGGTAATTAAAGTACGATCTTAACCAGACTTGCTCTCAGTGTGAGTGAGAAGCAAAGAGTCCAAGATCAAAGATATTTTTAGTTTTTAATCATTCATAAATGCCTTTCACTTCTACCAGGTCATCGCGAGTGCAGAGGACACGTTAAAGGACTTTGAGCAGAGAATCATAGAGCTGAAAACCAGAGGAGCAGCACTGCAGGCCGATCAGATTTCAGCAAACAAACTGCTTAAACTCCAGGTAATCAATAATAATTTTTAGATAAAGCTGCTTCATATCACAAAATGTAATTATTGTCTTGTCTGCATGTAGGATTCGTACGAGGAGCTGTTGATGACGGTGGGGTCGAGACGCAGTGGGCTGAACCAGAACATCGCTCTGAAGGAGCAGTACGAGCGCGCGCTGCAGGATTTGACTGACCTGGTCGACACAGCTAAAGACAAGATGGCGGCCGACCAGAGAATTGTGGCGAGCTCCGTGGAGGAGGTTCAAAATCATCTGGATAAGCATAAGGTATTTTCAGTTTATAACCCTTGAATTTAGTAATTTCCAGTCGTGGAAGTGAAAACGTAGACAATAATTCAATACTTTGTGCACAAGAATTTAACAATAAGAATGAAATACATCATGTACATTGAAGTTATGGATGGATTGGGGAGAAAATTCTGTTTCTGTGTTTTAAAATTTTCTGAATGCAGTAACTAAAGTAAAATATAGTGTAGTTTATGTTGTAACATGGCAAAATGTGTGAATACTAATGCATTGTAACTTCTCAGAATAGTGGGCTTTGTGCATGTTTATAATCAACCCAATCATTGCATTCATTGTCATTTTTCCTAGGAGTTTTTCCAGGGTCTGGAGTCCCACATGATCCTAACAGAGACGTATTTTAGAAAGATCAGTTGCCTTATGCTTCCCAAAGAAAACCAGAAACTGGAGGAAACGCTTGTTGAGGCTCGGAGTGTCCTGAAAGAAGCACACAGCAAAGGAGTTGAACTGGAAAGTATCCTGGAGGTGAGGAAAACGTAGAACGTTCTGTACAAACTTTAAACCAACATATAAACGAACAATATTACTGTTCACATTCTGCTATTTGTTTGAGTTGTCATGATTGAATTGTTCACTTTTTTCGCCCGCTCAGACTTGGTGCCGTTTAGTTCAGGACTACCAGAATCTGAACCGGCAGCTGGAGGCCGTCGAAGGAAGCGTTCCCTCTGTCGGCCTGGTGGAAGAAACCGAAGAGAGATTAATGGACAGAATCTCTTTGTATCAGGTGAGACGTGATAGCAGTTTAGTTTTAGGGTGAGATGTGTTCATATTTAATAGTTTAGTCAGATTACTGCAAAAAAATCCCAAAATCTCACCAAGTATTGTTTGTCTAGTTTCTAATGTAAATAGCACAAAAGTGACTTTTCAGCTCTTTTCAGGTTCCAGTCCAGCAAAAACAAAAATATATATTTTGTTTTTGTGTGCTCCACTCTTTGCAGGGCTTAAAGGGGAGACTGACGGAGCACCAGCACAAGCTCCGCCAGGTGCTGGACGACGGCAGGCATCTGTTACAGTCGGTCTGCTGCCCCGCGCTGGACAATCAGCTGGCGTTGCTGGGAGAGCACTGGCTGAGCAACACGGCCAAAGTCAACAAGGAACTGGAACGCCTGGAGGCAATCCTAAAACACTGGACCAGGTCAGAAATACCTAAACTACTTTTAGCTAACTCACAAAACTTGTATATATTTGTACATCTATATGTATCGTTTTCAATGGTGCTTCTGCAGGTATCAAAAGGAGTGTGTGGAGATTAGTGAGTGGCTGCAATCTGCTCTGGAGCGCCTGGAGTTCTGGAACACGCAGGCCATGTTGGTCCCACAGGAGCTGGAGACGGTCAGGGACCATCTGGCTGCTTTTCTGGTGAGGACACACACACACACACAGAGTTTTTTTTGTTTTGCTTTTTCTCAAACGGTGTGTCTGAATATTATATGGACTTCCTAATCAGAACCTTTCGTTCTTGATAAGAATCGAAGAGTTTTAATTATAGACGTCACTTTAGAGGTCCAGTCCAACATTACATCAAGATATTTTTCTTTTTTTCTTTATTTTTTTTAATAGATTTTCAGCATTAGAAATCAAACACACATCAACACACAACAGTCAAAGGAAGCGTAGCATCAATCACAAAACAAAAGAAGAGTTTTGAAAAGCATTGTTAAAGGAAATTTGAGTCAAAAGACTTTCAGTATTAGGTCAATTTAGTCCAAATGTTGTAAAACATGCCCGTTTGCATCCTCAGGGAGAAAGACGACTTTTCCATGACTTATATTTCATCTATTATATTTATGTAGTCATCAGTAGTAGGGGACTGCACTTTCTACCGTTTGCTAGTGATAGCTTTCTTACTTACAACAAGTAACATGTTCATTAATCTTTTATCTCCGTCTCTCCATTTAGACATAGGTATATCACCCAAGTAATTCAAAAGAAATATATAATTAACACGTTCAATTATCGCTTCCCAGTAGTGTCTTCACTGAAAAACACTCATCTTATGACTTTCTCGCTGTAGGAGTTCTCAAAAGAGGTGGAAGGGAAGTCGAGTCTGAAGAGCTCAGTCGTCTCAGAGGGAAACCAGCTGCTGCGGCTGAAGAAAGTGGACACAGTGGCTCTGCGCTCCGACTTGGCTCGCATCGACAGCCAGTGGGCCGAGCTCCTCACGCGCATCCCTGTGGTTCAAGAGAAACTGCACCAGGTAAAGTCACATGCAGCCACGCTGAACAGGCTTAGCTCCTTCAGGGCAAATAGGATTACCCCGCCCCACTCCTTCACTCGGAAACACCCTTTTGATGTGACCGTTGACCCAAAACCTGCGACACGTGCATTTTAAGACAGTTTTTATACATTCACCTGCTTTGTTTGTTTTGTTGTTTTTTTTTCGTTTTTTTTAGATCCAAATGGAGAAGTTGGCCTCCCGCCATGCTATTTCTGAACTTTGTAACTGGATTTCACTGATGGAGAGTGTGATTGAGGAGGATGAAGAAAACCTCAAGAGCGCTGTTGGATCGAATGTGATCCAAGACTACTTGCAAAAATATAAGGTGGAACTTTTTTATGTTCGCACAACTTAATATTTTAAATGGCATTATTGAATCCCAGCATTCATTTAATTTAACTTTAAGGGGTTATAAAAACTGCATTCAAAATAACTTTTCTCTGCCTTTTATAAAAAATATACATTTAAGTTTTTTTAAATTTGGCTCATCATCCTTTGGTTGATTCCCCCATTTTCCTCGGTTTTAGGGATTCAGAGTGGATTTAACCTGCAAGCAGCTGACTGTGGACTTTGTCAACCAGTCAGTTCTGCAGATCAGCGGTCAGGACGCCGAGAGCAAGCGCAGCGACAAAACCGACTTCGCTGAGCGTCTGGGAGCCATGAACCGACGCTGGCAGATCCTACAAGGCTGCATCAACGAGAGGGTGAGCCCGTATTTTAATGAGATTGTTACAACATATCTTATTCGTGTTGTTTAACTGTGTACCATAAAGTCTAAATATTTTATTTTAAATTAAGATCCAGTTCCTCGAGAGCCTCTTAAAGATGTGGCTGGAGTACGAGTCGAGTGTTCAGATCCTCAAGTCCTGGATGACGTCTCAAGAAGAACGGCTAAAGAGGAAACACAGGATAGAAGATTTGACGTCGGTGCAAAATGCCCTCAAAGACTGTCAGGTGGGCCTGACATGTTGATCCAGATTACATCTTCACCACCTTTAGATTATGTGGCTTTAGTTCTTTGATGGGTAAACTGGATATTTTTTAGGAAATGGAAGAGCTGTTGAAGGAAAAAGAGAAAGAACTGGAGAGAGTAGAGGAGCAGGGCTGTGCTCTTGTTCAGAACAAGACAGATGAGGCTTGTGCTATCGTCATGGAGACCCTCCAAAGCGTCAATCACACCTGGGCCAACCTGGACCACTTGGTACTTTTAGATTTTTACTCCAGCCTACATATTTATCTGAGTTGTTGGGTTTCATTCCTGTTTGCTGCTGATTTCTCTGCAGGGCTGAGCTTTCTGTTCACCAAATCTCTGTGTTTTCACGTTTCATCTTTAACAGATAGGACAACTAAAGATTAGCCTGACCTCAGTGCTGGATCAGTGGAGTCTGTACAAGCGGGCGTCAGAGGAAATCAACGGCTTCCTGATGGAAGGACGATACTCTGTGTCCCGTTTCCGCCTCCTCACCGGTTCTCTAGAAGCCGTTCAGCTGCAAGTGCAAAGTTTGCAGGTCCGTTAACATAAAGTTCGGATTTTTGATCACATAATTTAGCTCTAGGACGTGTTTAGCATTCAGCATACATTTGTGTGCTTTATTGTAAAGGATCTACAAGAAGAACTGGAGAAACAGGAAAGCAGTCTGAGAAAGTTTGGAGCTGTGACCCACCAACTTCTGAGGGAGTGTCACCCTTCAGTGTCGGATTCCCTCAACAATTCCCTCAAGGACGTCAATGCAAGGTAACTTTTTCAAAAAATAAATACGTGTTTTATTCTTTTTCTTTTCTGCAAAGCTCATATATAACAAACTTTGTCTTTGAGTACGTTTAATGTTAGTCTTCCATTCTCCACACTCAGGTGGACCAGCCTACTGGAGGAGATAGCGGAGCGTCTGAAGAGCAGCAAAGCCCTGCTTCAGCTGTGGCAGCGCTACAAGGAACTCCACGAGCAAAGCTGCAGCAGCATTCAGCTCCAAGAGGAGAAAGCAGACCAGCTCCTGAAGAGCGCCTGCAGAAAGGACATCGCTGATGAGGAAGTTTCCAACTGGATCCGGGAATGCAGTGTGAGTTGGACCGGGGTGACGATGGGTTTAAGCTCCAGACGACTTTTGTCGTACAAAAAGGCAGCCAGTCATGATCTGTCAGACTAGTTTTACTGTCGCCATTGAAGAAAAGGTTTCCGAGCTTCACGATGTGCAGTTTTGGTTTTCTGGCACGCATTTTGTTCTGTAGGTCAGAAAAGTTCAAGTTCATGTTTGCTGGGTCCCTGACATGAATGTGTTATGTCTTTCTTCCAAGAATGGCTTTATTTGTGCCTCTAAGGTTAGATTTGTGACATGTGTGACACAAATCTAACCTTAGATTAGATTTGTGACAAATCAGTTTTTTTGATTTGTCACTTTTCTGTCTTTGAAGATTTAATTTGTGTAAAATTTTTATTGTTTGTGTGTGTGTGTGTGTGTGTGTGTGTGTGTGTGTGTGTGTGTGTGTGTGTGTGTGTGTGTTAACCCGCCCACAAACAACCATCTTGTTTACAGCTTTGATTTATTTTGACTTTGAATTCAGGTCAACTCACATCAAGAATTACTGAAATTAAAGCCAGACATTTAATATATTTTCTTTTATTTGTATTTCTTTAGGAAAACAAGTGAGAAAAGAAAGAAAATCATAAATCAAATATCCTAAAATGTTTCCAATTAATCACTAAATAATGTTGCTCTATCGTGTAAAACTCTAATGAAATATTGGTGTTTCCGATTTTTTTATTTTTGTGGTTCTGTTCGTCAGGAGTTGCTGCGATCACAGGCTCCAGTTCTGGCCTCCCTCCAGATTCTCCAAGAGCTGGGAGAGCAGCTGAAGCAGCAGGTGGACACCTCGGCAGCCTCCGCTGTCCAGTCGGACCACCTCTCCCTCAGCCAGCGCCTGGTGGGCGTGGAGCAGGCCCTGAACAGACAGCTCACCGCCTTGCAGGTAAAACAAACAAAAAAGCAATATTCATGACAGATTACTGCATAAATATTAATTGTGTAAGTGATCAGCCTTTCAACGAGCGTCATAAACGTCACATCTTTGCGTGTCTCCTCCGTCAGACTGGAGTTCAGGACTATGAGACGTTTAATAACCAGCTGGAGTCTTTGGGCTGCTGGTTAGTTGAAGCTGAGGACGCGTTGAGAGCTCAAGATCCCAACGGCTGCACTGACCTGACCGTCATCCAGGACCGCATGGAGGAGCTCAAGGTTTCTTACAGCTTTCTTTTCTCTGGTCAGTTGGGTAAAACTGCCTGTGAACAAAACGTGAAGAACCCAAAACCTTTTTCTTCCTGGTTTTTTTGCAGAAGCTCATGCTGAAGTTTAGCAGCATGACGCCTGAATTAGAGCATCTGAACGAGCTCGGGTATCGGCTCCCTCTCAACGACTTGGAGATCAAGCGCATGCAGAACCTCAACAGAAGCTGGTCGACGGCTTCGGCCCAGACCACAGAGAGATTCAGGTGCGACATGTGCATGAACACAGGGCATGGATATTAAATGAGATTTCAAAAAGGATTAGATTTGGGATTACACCATATTTTAAATGATTTTTGCTTCCTTGCAGCAAGCTTCAGTCATTCCTGCTGCAGCAGCAGACCTTCCTTGAAAAATGTGAAACATGGATGGACTTCCTGCTACAAACTGAAGACAACCTGGCTGTGGAGATTTCTGGAAACTACCAGAGCTTAATAGATCAGCAAAAAGCCCATGAGGTTCGAGTTCGTCCCACATGAAGCATACTGAAACTGCAGATTGTTGGGTTTTTTCTCATGCAGGTAATCACATTTTTCTTCCAGTTATTCCAAGCTGAAATGTTCAGCTGCCAGCAGATCCTCCACTCGATCATCAGCGATGGACAGAGGATGTTGGAGCAAGGTCAAGTAGATGACAGGTGAAATATCTTACAATGTTTTAGAAATAAATCCAAACTCTATCATGAGCCAGTGATTCATTTTAATGGCTTCTGCTGGCAGAGACGAGTTCAACATGAAGCTGACTCTCCTGAGTAACCAGTGGCAAGGCGTGGTGCGCCGCGCTCAGCAGAGGCGGGGCATCATCGACGGTCTCATCCGTCAGTGGCAGCGCTACAGAGAGATGGTGGAGAAGCTGCGCAAATGGCTTCTGGAGGTCTCCCACCCTGCAGAGGTGCTTCAGTCAGGAAACACCATCCCCCTGCAACAAGCTCGCTCCATGCTTGATGCTGTCCAGGTACAAAATAATAATAATAATCCACAGTTTTGAGATGTTGGTTATTACGCGTCTGTATTTTGTTTTTTGTTCTTCGTGATGCTGTTTGTTCACTATAAACCTCCGAAACCTTCCCAGAAATTAGTTTTATCCTCATTTTAAATTACACACTGGACTCTAATGAGTAACAATTACGTGACTTCTCAAGTCCAGTTAGATCTTGTTTTGTAATATCATAGTAATTGGGTGTAAACCAAAACAAATGGTGCTATTTCTAAAGTTACCGTACATTATTCTCTACTTTGTGTTGATCCGTTATGCAAAATGTTAATGAAAAACATTTACGGTTGTAACATGAAAAACTCCAAAAGATATGGTTCATTTTTTTAAAAAGCTTTGCATTTAATACTGAACAAAATATGTGAAATTGTTGGCAGAGCAGGACGCTGGCGGTTCTGTCGCCTCATGAGATTCACTCTTTCTTCTTCAGCTGAAGGAAAAGGTGCTGCAGCGCCAGCAGGGCAGCTACATCTTGACGATAGAGGCCGGCAGACAGCTGCTCCTGTCTGCAGACGGTCGAGCCGAGGTCACCCTGCAGACGGAGCTGACGGATGTCCAGGACAGGTGGAAACAAGCCAGCACGTGCCTGGAGGAGCAGAAGAAAGAGCTGAGCTCGCTTCTGAAGGTAAAGCAAACAGAAAACATGCAGTTTAATGGACGGATGGCGCAAAGTCACAGCTTTGCATCGTTAGTGCTTATATACAAGTTTCACATTTTTCCAAGTGCTACGTTGTCTGCATTTAGTTTTGATTTTATGCAAAAAAAAACCAAAAACAAAGCAAGGTCCAAGAAAGGTCAAAAATAGGAGCAGGTATTCACAAGATGGAAAAAATAACATTCAGTTTAAAGATAAACGTATTTTTCAAACATTGGAGTAAATGGGGAAAATATATCAAACGGTATATGTCAGAATCACCACGTGATTCTAGTTTTTTTTAATCAAGATTTATTGACTCAGTCTATTGTAAAGTTGATCAGCAGTTCCATGTAACGCTAAACTTCATCTCTCTGGAGTTTTATTTGTTTTTATGTGCTTCTTTTCTTCTTTTACGACTAAATCCCAGGTAGAGTCATAAGTAGAAGTGTGTTATATGTGGTGGAATGAACTGTTTTTTGTTTTGTTTTATTCTGTATTCATTGAATTTAGATCAGGAATGTAAATGCCGCCATCTGAAAACAAAACAAGTAAAGCCCAAAAGGCCATTCGTTATGACTTTTAGTGCCTTAATTCCTACAGTTTACCTGTGTATCCATGTTGATGTGCAGGACTGGGAAAGGTGTGAGAGGGGGATTGGAGGATCGCTTGAGAAACTCAGAGCCTTCAAGCGGCAGCTGTCTCAGCCTCTTCCTGATCACCACGAAGATCTCCAAGCCGAGCAGATGCGCTGCAAGGTATCCGCAGGGCTGGTTTCAGTCTGTCAGTAAAACTGAATGAGTGAATTCTCCCGTCGTAAATCCTGTCCCCTTATTAACAGGATTTGGAGAACACATTCGAAGGCTGGACTGGAGATTTGGCTCATCTGACTCTGCTGAGAGAGTCTTTGTCTTGTTACATCAGTGCAGAGGATCTTTCTGTTCTGCAGGAGCGAATTGAACTTCTGCATCGGCAGTGGGATGAAATCTGCCACCAGGTACAGTCCTCTCTGTGTTTCAGTCGTTTTATATCTGCGTCTTTCTAACTCATGACCTGAACAGCTGTTCTTTTTTAACCCTTGACTTACATTTTACATGATTTTTACACAAGTGTTCAGAACCCTTTGCGTTTTTCAAAGATATTTTATTATAACCACAAACATCAGTGGGTTTTATTATGCTAGCTGATAAGCTAGTACATGCATGTTACAGAAGAAAAAAAAATGTGTGCTTTTTTTTTTGTTGGTTTTTTTTTTATCTGTTATGCTAGGCATTCATTTGTTTCAGCCAAGCTTTGAACATCTAATTGAGCATCATTAAATCCATCATTGAAAAAGAAAAAATTTACCAGAGATTATATGATGACTTTGAAGGACGTGGAGAGATTCATACTTTAATTGGGAGAATCTATAAACAGAACAATATCAATCAATCAATCAATCAAATTTTATTTGTATAGTACATTTCAGCAGCAAGGCATTTCAAAGTGCTTTACATAAGTTTAAACAGTGAGAAAGAAAAAGAAAGTAATAAAAAGAAAAGATAAAATCATTCTGTTGGACTTCCTGTCCATTCAAGTTATATGATCTACGCAGACCTTCCATTTCTTAACACGGGTATTAGCCAGGCCCCGCAGCCTAACTGGACAAGGCCTCCAGCCTTGCAGCACCAGGCTCCGTCCGCCTGTTTCGCGAAAATTTTGCGCTAGGACTTTCGCTGTCCTACGCGGATTTTGTGCATTAATTGGTTACCTGTTAGAGTCTAGAATTTACAGGGTTTTATATACGCGCCACACTTTTTGTCACGGAAATTAAGCGTCTGTCGTCGCCGGACTCCGCAGTCCGTTTAACACGAGTATTAGCCAGGCCCCCGCAGCCTATATCCTGGTCTTCACACATCTGCCCTTTTTAAAGAGAGTTATAATAAAAAATTTTAAATAAAAAAGCAACAGGCACGTCTGTTTGCATTTTGCCATGTAGAGGACATAGGAGACACACAAGATATTTCTTGGTTCAGAGCCTCTCAGTTTAATTATCTGAATTCTCCTCAGCAAGTTCTGCACTCGGTTCTGGTGTCCCTCAAGGATCCATTTTGGGCCCGCTATTGTTTTCCATTTTTATTATTATTATTCTTGCATTGGCATTGGTTTTTAATGATTGAACTTAACCTTAAATTAACTTGTTGAGCAAGGAAGTGTCTGAATAATTAGCATTTCTTTTTTTTTATCTCAGTGACAATAAGAGATAAAATCTCTTTGATTTTTAACTTGGGTTTAGTTTAATTCACACATGCCCTCTTGTTGTACTGTATTACTATCAGTGTTGTTCTAAGTATAATCTGATACCTTCTTTTATTGACCTGTTCTGCCTTCTGATCTGCTTCGAATCTTAAGAGTCTGAATAAATTATGAGTTGAGTAAAGTTGGTCGGAGCTGATAAGAAGATGGAGAGAATTAAACTGTAATCCTGTAAGAAAGAAACTCCGTTCAGTCTGACTGAGCTTGAGGTATTTCACAAAGGATAAAAAATATCAATCTCGTTCAAAGTTGGTAGAAACCCTGAAATACTTGAAGATGTAATTATAGTGAAAGGTGGTTTTAAAGAGAACTGACTCTGACGCACTTTTCAGATTTTTTTATTTCCTTTATTTAACCAGGTAAACCCCATTGAGATCCAGATTTCATTTTCAAGGGGGACCTGGGCAGAAGTCTGCAGCAATTTGTTGGAGTTTGAAAACCGGGTGTAATTTTGCTCTGTTATAATTTTGCAGTACTTTGTGTTGCTCACTTATACAGTATGTATTACTAGAATGATTGAGTAATGTTATAAATTATTATAACATTTGTATTCCTGATTATGCAGTTCCTCAGGAAACCACAAGGTGATGCTAATGTCAAAACTTTAATATAAGATATAAAAACGTCCACAGTCACCATTAAATCATGCTACCATTCATAATTTAGACTTAAAAGTAGGGAATAGACTATAGTATTTATACGGTGGTTATTTGTTTAGCTTAGAATTTTTTAAATTATTTTTGAACAAGGCTTTCAAACCAACAACAGTCTCTTTTTACAGATCTTTGCTCATGTTTCTGCACCGTTGCAAAGTTAGAGCGTTGCTGAAACCTCAAGATTTTCTGTTTTGAGTTGCTTCCTGTGCTTCGTAGATAAAATGCTCTCACAGGAAGCGCAGAAGCACACACACGTTGTGAAACGCAAATGGCAGTCATGTTTCAATAATTTCTGTAACACTGCTTCCTTTTTTTTGGCTTTTCGTGTTTTGTTTGCATGTTTTACCACGACATGCATTGTTGGTTTGTTGCTCTTATGGGCTGAGCTAAGTCGTGCAGGTCGACCTCACATGCGTTGCTGTGCTTCTGCAGCTTTCCCTGCGCAGGCAGCAGGTGAGCGAGAAGCTGAATGAGTGGACCGTTTTCACCGAGAAGCACAAGGAGCTCTGTGAGTGGCTGACCAACATGGAGAACAAGGTGGCCCAGAACGGAGACATCAGCATCGAGGAGATGATCGAGAAGCTCCGCAAGGTATGGAGACGTGTCACCCGATGAGTGCAGACGTTAAATTTCTCAGCATTTTTACTTTATGCATGTCTTAATTGCTGCAAACCTTTGTGGAATTTTTCCTTTTTATTATTTTCAAGTCATACACCAGAACTGTCCCAGTTTTAAAACCTGTATTTAAAGTGTTTTTTTGTTGTTTTGAATTCTGTTGCAGGATTACCAGGAGGAGATCACAGTCGCAGAGGAGAACAAGAAGCACTTGCATCGGCTTGGAGAGCGCCTGGCTAAGGCCAGTCATCAGACTAAAGCAGCTGAAATCGAGCAAAAACTCAACAAAGTCAGCGACCGCTGGCAACACCTCCTGGATCTCATTGGAGCTCGGTAAAGAGACATGAGCATTTATGGATGGAAATGTTTTTACCTTTGTTCTCTGCTGGAATATTTAGTTTCTAATTACCCTGGAAACCTAATGTCGACAGAGTGAAGAAGCTGAAGGAAACTCTGGTCGCCGTGCAGCAGCTGGATAAGAACATGAACAGCCTGCGCTCTTGGCTCGCCCACATCGAGGCGGAGCTTTCTAAACCCATCGCCTACGACTCCTGCGACTTCCAGGAGATTCAGAGGAAGCTCGATCTGCAGCAGGTGACAGATTGCTCCATATGAAGTCATCATTACTGGGAAATGATTCACAGAGTAGCTGTTTTGTTTACATCTACCTGTTTATCTGTTTAGTCTATTAAACAAGGGAGAAGCATGCATCTAATTTTACTTTTGAATACAAACTAAAATATGAAACTAAAGTGTTTTAAATTAAATCAAATTACTACGAAATTAAATAAGACCTTATGACAAAAAAAATTAGCAAAAAATTATATCGCTTTTTAAAAGTTTTTTCTTCCAGTTTTTTCGACGCTGTTACCTGTCAATTTTTTTATACAAGAATAAATGTATTAAATATATATATATATTTTTTTTAACTACCAGGAGCTTCAGCGTGACATAGAGAAGCACAGCACCGGAGTGGCTTCAGTGCTGAATTTATGTGAGGTTCTTCTGCACGACTGTGACGCTTGTGCCACCGACGCGGAGTGCGACTCAATCCAGCAGGCGACGCGGAGCCTCGATCGCCGCTGGAGGAGCATCTGTGCCTTGTCCATGGAGAGGAGATTAAAGTAATCAGCCATATCGTTACATAAATAGAAACAGACACTGTGGATGTCTAACAAGTTCCTCTCATTGATCAGAATTGTTCCTTTTTTCTGGAATCGTCCTCTTTTAGGATCGAGGAGACATGGCGCTTATGGCAGAAATTTCTGGAAGACTTTGCACGTTTTGAGGAGTGGCTGGCCACTTCAGAGAAAACTGCAGCTTTGCCCAACTCATCTGGTGTGCTGTACACAGTAGCCAAGGAGGAGCTGAAGAAATTTGAGGTAAAACATTCCTGTGTACTGAATTGCTTTTATATTTTAATATTAAATTAGCCAGCAAGTGCTAATGCGCATGAGCTGTTTTGCAAGAAAGCAATTGAGACTCGTTGGTACGCATATTCTAATTTGCTGAATGTTTGTTTGTGTCTCTGCAGGCCTTCCAGAGACAAGTTCACGAAAGCCTGACCCAGCTGGAATTAATCAACAAGCAATATCGCCGCCTGGCCAGAGAAAACCGCACAGACGCCTCGTGTCGTCTGAGGGAAATGGCTCACGATGCCAATCAGCGATGGGACAACCTGCAGAAAAGGGTGGCATCCATCCTTCGCAGGCTCAAGGCACGACACGCTTTCCATTTTTAAAATGATTAGCTTTACTTATTTTCATCAATAAGTTGATCAAACATAAAGGCTTTGTTGAACTTATCATAGTGAGTAAATACTTTTATTCTGTATAATAGTATAAAAGTGATATAACGTTTTTTTTTTTTTTTCTTTTTTTAATTAATGCAGCACTTTATAAATCAGAGAGAGGAGTTTGAGACGGCCAGAGATGGCATCTTAGTTTGGTTGACAGAGATGGACCTTCAGCTGACGAACATCGAGCATTTCTCAGAGTGTGACATTCAAGCCAAGATCAAACAACTCAGGGTAAGTTTATCTCAATTATTTGAGAATAATGTAGAATTATTCGGTATGTCTAAGGTATAGTATAGTATGGTAATGCAGATTAGACACTCCTAATTAAAAAATGTAAAGATCTTGATAACAAAGTGATTTTGACTCATATTTTGACCCCTCCAGTCGTTCCAGCAGGAGATTTCTCTGACAACAGCCAAGATCGAGCACATCTTCCACCAGGGGGAGGCACTGATAGAGAAAAGTGAGCCTCTGGATGCTGCGGTCATAGAGGAAGAGCTGGAGGAGCTTCAGCGTTACTGTCAGGAAGTGTTTGGGCGAGTCGAGCGCTACTACAAAAAGCTCATTCGTCTTCCAGTAAGAGCCCAAAAACCAGCTTTGCTTTTAATGAACTGAAATTTGCTGTTCCTTACCGAACCAAAATTCAGTTGTTGTTGTTTTTTTTTTAGCTTGCAGACGATGATACTGAAGTATCGTTCTCGGACCGCGAGCTGGAGCTGGACGAACCTGGAGATTTGTCCAGCTTGCCGTGGAATGAACGTTTGGGGGATGGCTTCCTTTCACCCCTGCCGTCCTCCGGGCGCTCGGCCTCGCTGGCCGCCCAGCTTCGGGCCGAACGGTCCGGCAGGGACACGCCTGCGAGCGTGGACTCCATCCCCCTGGAGTGGGACCACGACTATGACCTGAGCCGTGGCCTTGAGAGTGCCAGCAGAGCCCTGAGAGAGCAGCAGAGCGAGGAGGGAGACTTCCTGCAGCGCCCCGTCTCTGGCCTGTCAGGTTAGCTACAGACGAATGAAATAATTTGAACCTAAATTTAAATTGCAGCAAGAGCTTTTACATTTCAAAACGTGCTGTGAAGGTTTTCCATTTAGCAACCTGTAGATCCAGAAAGCTACAAATATGGATCAAGTCGTACGTTTTAAGTTATAACTGTGGTTTAGGAAATAGAAAGTGACCTTACAAAAACATTTTGATGTCAGAAGTAGAGATGCACAGGGATGATTTCCTGTTATTGCAAAAATGTTACTTTGTTTTAGCTAGTTATGATTTTTTTAACTATTAAAAAGCACTGAAATATTTTTTTAGCACTTAAGTTTTTAAGAAGTAAAATCATTATTAGTGTTGTTTTAAAACACTTTTAGCTAGTGATTAGCTTAGCTAGTGCAGCTAAAAGTACTGTCTATATGTGGAAATGCTCTGGGATTTAGCACAACTGAGAAATTAAAAGCAAAAAACTGCTAGCATTCTCAAATCTAATTGTTTGAGAGCAGACAGAGACAGAAAGCTCAGAGAGAAACAGCCTTCCCGTTCTCTGCTGAAAGTTTCACTCTCTCTCTTTTGCATCCTGAATGAGCCGTAGACATTTCCAGAGACATTGTAGAAAATGAAGTTTTCTTTTCAACAGCCCCTTTCATCTCTCTGGTTCATTTTAAACACCTGATACTAATTTTCTTCAGTCAGTAACAACATACAAAGTGAAGATTGTTGAGATTAGCGCCACCTGGCAGAGCGTAGGCTACATTTTTGATTGACACTCTTGGTGCGTCTCTAAATAAAAGTTCTTTCTCATACCATCCTTCTTTCAATTAGATATTTCAACAAACATATTTTGATGTAATTCAGGTTAAATACAGATGAATTCCTGGTTCATCTATTAATTTGGTGACATAGTGTGAAGCCCAGTGCTAAATGTTTGTACTGTACAATGTTTCTTCCAGATGTAGTGATTCCAGAGAGCCCTGAGGCCTTTGTTAAGCTAACAGAGCAAACTCTGAGGTCCTCCACTGGTAGGCAACAGCAGAATTAAGCATAATGCATTTGTTTGGACCCAGAAATAACTACTCCAAATAGCCCTGTAGCCCTGTCACCGGCTTGGTTGTTTTGTGTTGATTTCACTTATACACTGTCACTAATAGTCGCTCTTCCTAACACCGTGTTATAGGGTGAACTCCATTTCCTCTGTAACTTCCTGCTCCCGGTTTTGGGTTCTCACTCAAAAGAGCAGAAATGGAGTTCAGCCTAAATCTTCTTTCTAACTTGCTCTTTCATTTGACTTGCAGTGTTGCTGGGTAGCTAACCTGTTTGGATTCTTTTTTTTATGTCTCAGAAAAGCATGTTTTTGTTTTATTTTGTCACAGTGAGCAACTTCTTTATTCTTTTTAAAGGATTGCAGATTTGTTTGCGCTTTTAAATGGTCATTTTCATAAATTGATCCCAGCTGACCCTAAGACTTAAACTGCAGCAGACGCCGCGAACAAGGCTGTCTGGAAAACCAATCTGCACTCCTGGTTTCTCATCTCCTACATTTTGTCTAGTTTTTCTCTGTCTGAACAGGTCCACCTTCTCTTGGACTGTCAATCACATTTCAGATAATCACTTTACATGGTCACTTGGCGCCTTTGCTTGAAGGTGATCAGTTGTTGTTGCGTCAACAGGAGAGGCTGCCTCAGCAGATTCTCATATGCGTCCCTTTGATGTCAGTGGTTCCCACCTGCAGCAGTTGGACAGCAGTCGCAGCCGCACTCCTTTAAGCACAGAAACGGATGCATCATACATGGGCTACGTATGTCTCTCTTACATCTACATTTTTGATGTTGCATCTGATTATTTTCTTGTTTTGCAAAAGTATTCACACCTCTAAAGTATTTTTTTCCGCATGTCATGTTACAGCTGAAAGCTTTCATGTGTTTTGTTTGCTATTTATTAATATTTTAACAGTTGAATTGGTTTTATCAATACATTCTGGCACAACCGGCCCTTTAAGAAGATTCAGATTGTTGATTTGGCCCAAAATGAAAATGAGTTTAGGGCACAACTGGTTTAGATCTAACACATTCAAGTGTTAGTATGGCCTAGTCAAAGTCCAGACAAGAATCCAACTGATGCTATGTGGCAAAACTTAAAAAATTATGTTTGCGGATGCTTTCTATTCAACCTGGCTTACTTTGAGAAGAATGGGCAAAAAATGGGAACACTTGTAAAAGCAAATTTCAAACGTTGTGCAGCACCGAGTGTCGTAATAGTTGGTCCTATAAAATCTCAGAGAGGCTGAGATTTTCGTGTTACACTTTTCATATTTCTATGTGGAAAAAAAAACTTGCATTGTTTTCCTTCCACTTAATAATATTTGCATGTTAAAGTTGATCTATCAAATAAAATTCCAACTACTTTCGTAAAGGTTTGTGGTTGTAACTTGACAAAACTTAGAAGAGTAAAAGAGGCGTGATTACTTTGTCAAGGTGTTCCTATAAAGTCATTTTAACCAGGTTAAAAAGTTATTTTCACCTGAAGGCAGCCTTTATGTTCAAAGGTAGATAATGGCATCATGGTTATAATAATCTGGTAGTCTTCTTCAAGCGAGTCTGCGTTTGCTCCGTAGATGCGACTGCTGGGTGAGTGTCGTGGCAGCATTGACACGGTGAAGAGGATGGGCTCCGAGCTGAAAGAGGAAGAGGATGCCGTGTCTGGGCTGGCAGACCCAAGCAGCTCAGAGTCCCAGACTTCAGGTAATATAACCACGAAACCCAGACGGCGCTCATGTTTTCAGCAACATCACGCTTCACAGTTTAGTTGCTCTTTATAATCTTGATTTAGTTTCTTTGTCAGAATTACCAACTATGAGCCAAGCTGCTGTGCGTCTTTCTCCCATTTGTGTGAAAATGCTGGACACACTCAAAATAAATGCTTAGTGTGACACTATTAGGTCGTATTTACCTTCATCGAATCGTTTTTGTTCTTTCCTGTTCGATCCAGGTGTGATTGAGCGCTGGGAGTTCCTGCAGGCTCAGGATCTCAGTAAGGAGATGCGCTCCAAGCAGAACCAGCAACAGTGGCAGCAGCTGAACTCCGACCTGAATAACATCTGGACCTGGCTGGGGGAAACGGAGGAAGAGCTGGAGCAGCAGCGAAAATTGGACGTCAGCACAGACATCCAGATAATTGAGCTCCGCATCAAAAAACTCAAGGTAATTAAATCAGATTCTCTTTTTTTTTCCCCTGACATTATTTGCTCAATTTAATTATTCTAAACACTCAAAATCTTTCTATTTTATGACTTTGTGTCCATGTTGCCTGATTTTCTCCTGCTCTGTGATGTTTGTGTTTGACTCCAGGAGCTGCAGAAGGCGTTTGACAAGCGCAAAGCCATCGTACTTTCCATCAACCTGTGCAGCGCTGAGTTCCTGCAGTCGGACACAGAGGAGTCCAGAGAGCTGCAGGCCAAACTGAAGGACATGAACAACAGCTGGGACAAACTGGGCAGCTCTTTGGACGAATGGAGGACTTTGCTACAGGAAGCTCTCATGCAGTGTCATGTAAGTGCATGTTGTCTTATCTATGTACGAATTCAACCAGCAGTTCCGTATTAACATTTATGTCCAACAGGACTTTCATGAAATGAGTCACGGTCTGCTCCTCTGGTTGGAAAATATTGATCGCCGAAGGAACGAGATCGTCCCAATCGACCCGATCCAGGACAGCGAAACCCTTCATGAGCATCACAAGACACTCACGGTACAAAACCGGAAAAATTACTGTTTTAAACGTGTTACCCTATTGCGTATTTTAACTCAGTTTACGTCATAAATCCGGCAGCAAATCCGCCAGGAGTTACTGGACTCGCAGCTGAAAGTGGCGTCACTGCAGGACATGTCGCTCCAGTTGCTGGTCAACTCTCAGGGCAGCGACTGCCTGGAGGCCAAGGAGAAGGTCCATGTCATCGGGAACCGCCTCAAGCTGCTGCTGAAGGAAGTGACCCGAGATCTCAGAGAGCTCTCCAGGACTCTGGACATCACCAGCAGCCAACAGGTACGTCGACTCATTCACATAAAATTATTCATGCCTTTTATTTTACAACTGCAAACTTCAGGGTTTTTTTTTTTTTTTGGCATTTTATCCATTAGATCATCATCAACTTGCGCATAAATTTGGGGTTCAAGGAAAATGATGAATGGGTGTTACATTTTTCACAAGTAAAAATCCATACGCATACCAGATTTTTCTTCATAAACTTCCACTTCAGTCGTGTTTTGCTTTTTGTGGGTCTGTCAGATAAAATATCAGCATTTATAGCTATAAAGTGGTGAAATGTTCCAGGTCTATAAATACTTCTACAAGCTTCTGCATGTCCAGTTTGAATCTCTACAACCCTGATTTAAGATATCACACAGAGAAGTTTTCCAACACGTTTCAGGTTTATTTGCCGCAGGAGAGTTTAAACTCAGTTAGCCAACAGAATAAGTTCACATTGTACGTCTATCAAAATAGTTTTTGCTCTTTGTAATTCTTTTATTAAAAGGTCACATGAAGACCGTGATTAAACTCGAATGAATTCAATCAAATCAGATTTTTTGGCTCCGGTACACAGAAGGCCTAACATATTGTGATACTCACCGTCTTTGTGCTTCTGTTTTTGTATTTGCGGATGTTTTTTGTCTTTGTTTATCTTCAGGATTTGTCTTCTTGGTCGTCTGCTGATGAGTTGGACACGTCTGGCTCCCTCAGTCCGGTATCAGGGAGGAGCACACCGAGTCGCTCACGATCGGTAATGTTCACCTCTTTCTGTTTACGGAGTAGAAACAGGAGTTTGATAACTCGTCTGTAACACGACGCCAAACGTCCCGACAGCCCCGTCGATGGCCCAGTTCACCCCCGTCTTCCCAGTATCTCTCCTGTAAATGTTTCCACACCGCCATACCCTTTTATACCGTCTAAGCCCCAAACCTTTTTCAAACCATTTAATATTCCTGCATGTAAATTCCTTGGGAAACTGGGACGTTTTATTTTTACTTTTTGATGTTTATTTTTTTGTTCTGTGTTTCAAAACCTTTCTACTTTTTCCCCTTCTTCTCTTTTACTTTCCCTTCATTTCCAAACTAAAACATTTTCCCTAGAATTTCCCTCTGACTTCTTCTCCTCTGTACATTTATTTTAATTTCCATATGTTTAATCTCAGTAATACTGGCTGGGTTGGAGCTGTTTAATCTACCAATGAGATTCTTTTTGAATTTGACGAAAACGATACCACGATTGTCTTAGAAATGCCTTGCAAAAGGATTCATCCCTTGACCTTTTTCACATTTTGTTTTGTTACAACCAAAAAATTCAATATCTGTTGTTTAGATGTTATGTGACGAATCAACAGAATGTAGTTCATATTTACAGCGGGGAAGAAAAATGTAGACAAATACAAATCTGAAGAGTGAGGTGTGCATTTGTATCACTGAGTCAATAATTTGTAGGCCCAACTTTAACTACCATCATTGCACATCTTCTTTACAGAATAGTTTAAGCTCAGGCAGATTGAATGCCTGGCGTCCAATCTGTAATTTTCAAGAGTTGCCATTGGTTTCAAACTGGATTATTTCCATTTTAGCACTGGTGACGTGTTTAGTTCCCAGCTCCAGATGTGTTTTTCTCCAGCATTGCTCTGTTTGTAGCTCCATTCATCCTTCCATCACTGCCTATCAGCTTCCATTTCCTATATAAGGAAATGTTTTTCCAGGAGGATGTTCAGTAATCGTCTTTCCCTTTTACAAATACGCACCACTTTGTGTTGTTCTATCGCATAAAATCCTAATGAAACATTGAAACCTGAGGTTGTGAGGTGGCGGGATGTAGAAAAGTCTCAGGAGTAGGAATACTTTTGCAAGGCACAACAATAATATCAGTCCAAATAAGGGTGCCACTGCTGTTAATGTTTCTTATTAATGTCACTGTTACCAAACAGAGTCATGCATCACATTGCCTGATGTGTAGCTTCGGATCTGCAGTCGCTTCCTCACAGGAAGCCGTTCAAAGTCACCAAAAAACACACTTTGAAAAGCCAGATTCCTTTATTGTTTTGAGTCACGAAATCTCTCATACTCATGTCTTGATTTTTGTTTTTGTTTTTGCTGCTCTTCTTTTCATTTTGGGTTGTCTTTTCATCAGTAGCTTTGTCTTGATTTGCGTGGACTGAAACATACTTTCTTTCTTTCACCCTCCCCTCCCCTGTTCATTGCAAACAGCAACGGGGCAAATGTAGTCTGTCACAGCCTGGACCGTCTGTGAGCAGTCCACACCACAGGTACCTTTTTGTTGCTTCTAGCACACCTAGAAGATAATGGAACTCTACCCATGATGCACTGGGAGGCTAGTCCGGGCTCTCTAACGTACACACCCTTTCTGCATTAGTCCCTATTTCACGTGTTAACCCTCGTGCCGGCTCATGATAGTGAATTCCATCATCTTCTGCCAGTCTGGGTGCTCTGTGTAGGTTAGACGATGAGGTGAGCTGCAGGCCAAACATCCACCCAGGAAAGGGTTTCACGAGGAATAGGCTTCTTCTTCTTCTTGTGTCCTCGGCTGCTTATCTAATATACAGCTAACAACACTTCTCGCTAAGCAAGCCAGCAAACTCCCCCTTTTTCTTTGAAAGTGTCGAGCCAATAAATGTCTGCAATGAACAATGCAAAAGCTGCGGCTTCCCTTTCTCTCTAGCTCTTTCACTCTTACCTCGTGTGTGTGCTGGTTCTCCACTGCTGCTTCTACCTCGCCGACTTTCCATCTCTGTTCCTCAGTCTGTCATCTGTGCGTCTTGCCTCTCAGGTGCCCATTTGTGAGGCGGTAAAGGGGGACTTTTTGGTAACAACATAAGAAAACTTTATGTCTTTATGTTGACCATTAATAAGATTGTTTTTGTGTTCACTGATCGTATTATTCCTCGAAAACATGCTAATTTTTAGGAAGCATAGTGGAAATTTTTGGCTGTGTTCACACTACAGCCTGAAGTGACCCGATTCCCATTTTTTGTCAAATTGGATTTTTTTATTTATTTATTTTTTTTCCGTGGTTGTTGACACTTCCAAATATGTGCAACCTGCGTGTGAACTCCAGTGTGAACGGAAAAACGAGCTGAAAGTGTCCCGCATGCGCACTAGAGGGCGCAATAACGTCAGCGTTCTCAGAGTTTGGCCAACCGCCATAAAAAGAAGAAGTAGTGTTCATCCATGTTTACTTGCAATAACTTAATCCTCATTTGGTTGTTTTTAGTCGAGTATCAGTGACGTTCAGGTCGGATGAATACGACCTGGACGTTGGGTCACATTTGAATCGGATACGTATCGGCCCGGGTCGCATTCGAAAAAAAATCCGACCTGTGTTGTTCAGACTGTCATGAAACGATCAGATACAGGTCGAATTATGTAAAAAAAAAATAAAAATCTAAATTGGGTCACTTCAGGCTGCAGTGTGAACGCAGCCGCCCATGTTGTTCAAGGGTAGTAACCCAGGGCAACAAAAAAAACGACGGACAAGAAGCACATATAAAAGTTTAACTTAAATGCAGCAGTTGTGCCCTGAACAAGGCTTTTTTTTATTTTTTTTTTTTTACATCGTTTTTTACAAATGCGCATTCAGTGGCGAGTTAGGACCCCCGAGTAAAAACTTCGGTAAAACCAAAGTAGTATTTTTACTCAAGGTTATCATACAGTGGGATCCAGAAACCTAACGGTGCGTTCACACCAAACGCGCTCTATTCAAAGTCTGTGTGGAGACTCGTCGAGGCGTCTAGCGCGGTGCACTGTGAACCGTTTGGAGCGTTTGACTCATCAAGAGCGTCCAACGCGTCCGACAAATAGGGCGGCAACGAAAAACAACAGCTAGAGCAATTTTGACACGTCTGATGTGCCTCCACATAGACTTCACTAGGTGCTCTACACCTAGCATGTGAAACGCTAGGTGTAGAGCAAAATGTCAAGAGTCTGCATTCACGGTGCACACTTGAAGCGTCAGACGCATTTTTGATGTGAACGCACCATAACCATTGGTGTTTAGCAAGTCCTGTTAAGCTCTAGATGGGTTTAAATTAATACAAAATGACTTTGTATTAATTTAATGGACATTTCTTTGACATAACGTCATTTCCAGAAAACAAACTCTGGATTTAGCTAAAAAAAAAAAAATCATAACATAATGGAGATAATTTGTTGATGGTGGACCCTTTGGATCCTGTGGATTATTCTCCCTTATCCCTCAGAAGCTGTCAAGTTCAGCACGTTTGTTTTTGTGGGGTTGTTTCAGCGTTGAGCATCTTTACTGTTCATTATGAGGAATGTGACATCATTAAAATCTCCAAGAACTGGAGCAGTGTGAAAAATATCACAAAGCTACAAGCTCTTGTTACATAGAATGTTTTATTCCAACGATGTCGGCACAATTAATTCATTGAAGACTCCTTATAAAATTTATTGGACAAAGTATTAAGTACTAATGAGAGTATAAACCTTACTGATGTTTCCCTTAAGTTATATTTTTTTTCCCTGTCCTAACTTACAACTTAGTTATCAGCGTAATAAGATAACTCCATAATGCAAAGTTTATGACCCTGAAAGATTAAATAATTTCATCCTCAGTCATTTACCAGGAACATTTGAATTCACTCAACAATGAATGATGTATTTTACTGTGTGAGCAAGTCTTCTGGCTCCAGTTTGGGGTTTTTTCCATGATTTTAACGTATAAAGTAGCAACACCTCGCAAAATTATTCATACATCTTCAACTACATATTTCCCATTTTGTCACTTTTTAGTCACAAACTTGTATGTTTTCTCCTGGTTATGTGATATACCAACACAAAGCAGTTCGAAATTGTTAAGTGGAAGAAAAATGTTGAATGTTGTTTTAGCAACAACAAAAAATATCTAAAATGTGAAGCATGCATTTGTATTTAGCTCTCATAATGTTATACTTGTAGAACCACCTTCCACTGAAATCAGAGCTGCGACTATTTTGAGCTGAGTTAAAATTTTGAAATTCTCAATTTAATTTTGGTCTGGACTTTGACTGGACCATCCTAACACATGAAAATGCTTATATTTGAACCATCCAAGTTCAGGTCTGTGAGGTTATTGTTTTACAGCCAACTACAAATTCTCCAGTTTTATCCCTGACCAGCTCTCAGATCTTTAGTTTAAAAAAAAGACATAAAATCATTTTTACATTTCTCTCCACACTACTCTAAGTTGTGTTGGTCTGTCACATAGCATCCAAATTAAATGCAGTGACTGTTTTAACATGACAAAATGTGAAAAGGTTAAAGTAGCATGAATTCTTTTGCATTTTATTGTTAGCCACATTCAATGAAGCAAAGTGGTATATTTCTTTACACCTGTTCTTTACAGAAGTTAGTGAAAAACCACAGTGTTAAAACGAAAACCTGTTTCAAGATGCTGCACTGCTCTTGCCATGGCATGCTTTGCACTTTTCTCCAGGATGAAACCTTTCAGTCAGGTCAGCTGATTCCTGCAGCATGCTTTTCTTTTTTTTGTCTTTTTACTCTTTAACACCTACAGCAAAGGAATGCAAGCAAACATTAAGTGTATTTGTCTATGCTTGGATACTGTTTTGTGACTGTCTTTGTTATCCTGTTTATCTACCAAGTTCCAGTCAGCATGTGGATCACAGTAGGAAACATCGTCACTCTCAAACGATTAGCGCCGTGCGGCCGTAAAAGCATCGACATCCAGCAGCCAAGCTGCTGAAATGAGATCTGATTTGGATTGAAAACAGATTTCACACATGGAGAGAGGGATATTAAAGTAGGAGTTAGGATTATTTAAATGTGCAAGTTTAAAAATGTGGTTCAGTCAGTTTGAGTTACATAGTTTGTACAGTATTGTTGTGTTAGCAGCAGTGTAGTTGTGCCAGGGATGCTGTGTGTGTTTGTCGGCAGTGGTTAGCTAACGCTCAGCCTCTGCCCGGTTGTGAATGTGTGTGAGCAGGTCTCGCAGCGCCGCTGGATCCGCTTCCTGCCGTTCTGATCGGGACGTGGCGACGGCTCGCAGGTCCTCGTTCTGGCGCCGCGTCCTCTGGTTCGCGCTGCCTCTCCAAATCCTCCTGCTCCTGCTGGTGGTCCTCGCCTTCCTGCTGCCGCTGGCGGAGGAGGACTACTGCACCCAGTCCAACAACTTTGCTCATTCCTTCTACCCGATGCTCAGCTACACTAACGGACCGCCTCCCGTTTAGGGCGGCAAAGAGAACTCTCCGTAATTTGGCTTCCGTGGGACAGGAATGAGAATCGTGCGCAGAAAAATCTCTTCTTTTGTGTGTAGCTCAGAGGATCGAGAATCGCACTACGTTAAGAAATGCTGCGTCATTTCGAGGTGTGTTTTGGCTTAACTCGCGGTGGAGTTCTGCTGGACGAATTTACGGGTCCTTCATCGTGTATTTTTCTGGAGAAGACTGTCAGTGGAAAGCACCAAAGTCAAACGCTGAAAGATTAGCCTGGGGTGACAAAAAGGAACACGAAACAGCTTCATTGCGTTTATTTTTTTACCTGTATTTTTGGGCATGTAGTTTTAATATTTACTTTTCTTTACTTACATCTACGACTGTGTTTGTGCTAAACTGTGTGACGTTTTTAACTTGAACTTACATCCATTCACGTTCGTCTGTCAAGTCAAGTGTTTTATGATTGGATGCAAATCGAGGGGTTTAACCTTTAACATCATGATCTTTTTACATTCTGCTTTTTATTTTTTCATAACATCAGGTATCTTAAAGATCGAAACTATGACACATTGAACTAATGTATATTTTGTATGACTGTTGGTTGAGTATAAAATATATAAAAGTCCAGAATTATTTAACATGTGTACATAGTGCAGAAGATTACTATGAGAAAAGATGTATATGCAACTACCAACAATAATGAATGCCAAATCCTCACTCCGAATCTTGTCTTTAATCTGATTTTTCTTTTGTCCATTTTATTAATGAACATAACTTTAAAGCCCTGGTTGCTAAGTAACGTATTTGTCAGTATCTTAGGTGGCATTTGTTGTACATAAAGACCTTTAAATGGCAGCAAATGGAGAAGCTGAGACAGAATCATCCGGGGTGGAACGACCTTCTTGGAGGTCCGGGAGCAGAGGAAGACTGTGGTGAGTGGAGCAATGCCAGGGTGTAGCGCCATGGTGACAACACACATGATGATGATGATGATGATGGCTGTGAAGAAGCTCCTCAAGCAGTTTGATGATTTCATCGTTTGAAAGAGATAAAGACGTCGAGTTCAGGCCCAACGTCTGAGAAACCTTTGACTGGAAATCCAGCAGCTACAACGAGAGACGAAAACGCTCGGTTCACTGTGAGCCAACAAGCTTTACTCTAAATTAATAAGAGCCTTGCAAAACTTTGACGCTTCCTGACGTTTTTGTCGCTTTGTCACTTTTGTAAACGTCGGTGGTGTGATTCTGTGTGATAAACCAACACAATGTCAATGGCACACTTTAAAAACGAGAGCTGCACCAACAATCTTTACACATTTCTCTGCAACAGAAACGAGCAGTAATAATAAAGTAGAAACGATAATAAAATCATCCCATAAAAGCACCGAAAAAGGCTTTACTTTACCAGAAACCCATGAAGTGAGTCATAAAGTTCTTCAATAAAATCTTAAAATGAGTTTCATATGTGATGAAGTGAACACTGGTGTTACATTTTCTTCATCATTTATAAAAACGCATGAATATGAGCAGTTAAAGTAGCAAGTAAAGCAGGGAAGTTATTCACGGTTTCAATCTGAAGACAAGAAGATAATCTGTTCACATGAGACAAAAAAAAACGTAACTTTTTGCTTATTAGCAAAGAGCTATGTAAGACGTGAGCTTACTGTGCAGAACATTTGATGAAACACAGTGGCAGTAGCATCATGCTGTGGGCATACTTTGTTTTTATAAGGACAGTAAAGCTGGTCAGAGTTTATTAAGGCTGAAAAAGACTTGAAACTGTTTAACTATCAACAGCCAATGGAGTATAGATGCTTGTTCACAGATTTCTGATAAAATGCAGTGCAAAATTAAATTTGAAAATGTTTAAGGTGTATGAATGTTTTTGCAAAACACTGCAGACGGTTGATAAAAAAAAAAAGGTCAAATGTCTGCTCAATAGATTTGGTTCTCAAACTGTTATCGAACCAAAGTTGAAGTTTCTGACTTTGGACCAGTTGTTTACTTAAAAACAACATAAAAACTTAATTTGTTTACAGAAGAATAGTCTTGGTTTCCCTCCAGCTTTCTGCCCTAACCTTGTGACTTTCCTCCACCGAGTCGAGAAAATGACTGAACAACAAGGAGACGAATCCATTGGGTCTGCTGGAAATGTTACAACTGGACCTCACTCACCTCCCTCTGCCGGTCAGACAGCTGAGTCAGGCTGAGTCTGAGGACGTTGAGCTCCTCTCGCTCCTCTCGCTCCTCTCTCATCTTCTTCTCCTGGTCCTGCAGGTTTGAGCCGCTCAGCTTCTTCTCCTCCTTCGCCTTCCCATCCAGCAGCAGATTCGTCTTCTGCTCCTGCTCGCTCTGACTCTGCTCTGTGACTTTCAGCTTGGCGTGTTGAACACAGCGGAGACCCAAATGTTTGCGCTTAAGCCAAATTATGCTGACCTTTATTTAGATTAGGTAAGTAACTCTGACACGAATACGTGCTCAAATTATGTCAAAATGATTTTTACAATCATTCAAAATGATTTTTTTTAAAAAGATAAATTTACAAGGTGTTTCGAGGTAAAAGAGCCTCTAGAGTGACCCTGAATCCCAGCCTTTCTCCCCTCTACCTTGAGCTCGTCGGTGTGGGTGAGCTGGGCCTTCAGCTCGGTGTTGGACATCTTGGTTGCCCTCAGTTCTGCCTGGAGACGCTCCAGCCTTTTTTTTAACTTCCGGGCCTCCAGAAGAGCGTCGTTTTGTTCTGCAGACAGCACAGATCGACTTCTCCTCCTCTCCTCCTCCAACTCCAAGACCTTTTTCCTCAAAAGCTGGACATGGAGATCTTTTCTGTCCAGTTGGTCCTTTTGGGACTTTACCTACAAGGATTGAGCAGATTTTTACTTTTGTTCAGAGAGGAAGCAAAAGAGTCACGTCAGGTTTATTTGTTTGTGTAGCACCTTTCACCAACAACGTAGTAAAAAGTGCTTTACATCGTAAACACGTTAAATAGTCAATTATTACAAAATAAGCAGTAAACATTAGATTTTGTCATCACCAAATATTCTGATAAATGTCTCAGTTATTATCAAAAGCAACTTTTAGCCTTGATTTAAAGGAGCTCAGTCTTTCGACTATCTTGCAGTTTTTTGGAAGTTTGTTCTGGATTAGAGGAGCATAAAATCTTCAGAGTGAGTTTCTACAGTTTTACCTTCTGCTTCAAGCTGTATGTCTGCACTTTGCTCTCCACCAGAGCGGCTGCCTCTTGTCTGTCGAGCTGTTCTGCGCGAGACCGGACGAGTTTCAGCCTCATGTCGAAGCCCAGGTCAGGGTCAATACCGTCGACCTTCATCGTCTCAGACAGCCGCTCCACAAACTCCTCATACTGCGGAGAAATCGCGGTCAAAACACCTGAATGACTGGCTACGTCTCCCTCAGTTTCGTCTCTCATCTGCACCAGTGGCTTCTCTCACTTGCTTGTTGCTGCGTCGTAGTTCGTCCCGATGCAGCTCTGCCTCCAGCTGCTCCGTCTCCAGACTCTGCAGTTGCCTCCTCAGGTCCTGGGCTTGCTGCTCGGCAATCTGAGCCCTCTGCAGCGTGCCGAGCTGGAGCGCCGTCAGCTGTTTCAGTTCCTCAGAGGTGTGGCGCAGTCTCACCTCCATCTGTGATACGGTCTGCCACGCCGAGGAAATCAACATTAATAGTTGGAACATGCTCAAGGTGTAGGTGGTGAAGGGATTTCTTGACATATCTTGGAATATTTTCAATGAAAAACAGTAAGAACAATTCAAGTACTGAATAAAATGCGCTTCTGCTTTTATGCATTTGGTTGTGTTCACGACGTTCCTAATTCAAATTACAATAGCTTGCAATATAATGATGAATATAACAGATACTTCAGCTAATTTCTATATCATTCATAACCCGTGAACCTTTCTGTTTTCACTTTACAAATAAACTTCATTTTATGTGATGGACCAACGCAAGTTAGTGTTTTATAATGAAGAGAAATTAAAATAAACCATTCTGGATGTGTTGCTTTATCACTTTTATTTTTCACAGAACAATTGAATGGTACTGAGAATAAAATTCACTAATCGCTCAATTAAGAATAAGTGATCTGTACCGTATTGTAGGGCTTCCAGAGTGAAGTGGACCAAATTCAAAAGCACACCACACATTTCAGATTTCTACTTGTAAATAAAGTATTCATTTTCCTTCCACTTTTCATATGTGCACTACTTTGAGTTGGTCTATCAAAAATGAAATAAAAAATATAAATATGTGAGGTTGTAAAGTGATAATGTGGAAAGATCAAAGGAAAATGAATAACTTTGCAAGGCGCTATAAAAAAAAACTTCAAAAGTCACTCAAGAAGTGTAACAGCTAATTTATGATGTCTTTGTTTTTTCCTCTGCGGCCTGAAAGAAAATTAAATCAGGAGACTTATCTGCTGTAATTAGTCACCTTGTTACAGAAGCCGTCTAAATGGTGTAAGACGTCTCTCTCTGTGGGCAGGAACTCAAGCTCAGTCTTCTCCTGCAGCAGACCAGCCACCTTTTCCAGGAACCGCTGAAGTTTCTGCTCAGCCGCCCGGGCCTTGGACTTACACTCCTCCACCCGTTTCTCCAAACAGCAGGACTCTCGCCTGGCGGCCTCTATCACTCTCCTGCTGGCGTCAAGGCTTTCGCTTAAGGTCCGTTTCTCTGTCTCCACGCCCCTCCTTCCCACCACCAGGCCTTCCAACTCCTGAAAGAGCCAGCGTCACATGTTAACATTTAGAATGGACGCAAACTTTGAGTGATGTTTTCAGTTTGAATCCATTTGTAACCAGCAAATAGATGTTTTATTTAGTTAATAAGGGAAAAAACAGTGTAAAATCCAGACAAAAAGAGGCAACTTTGAGAGTGAATGTAACTCTAAAACACATTGAAAATAGTATTTCTACCTCTTTGAGAGAATCAAGTGCTGCTGCACTGCCGGCTGTCTTCTTCTTCTCCTGATCCAGCTCTGCCATCAGCCTCTGTGCCGTCTCTCTGCTGGCTTTACACTCCAGCTCACAAGATTTGACATTCTCCTCCAAAACAGCAATCCTCATCCTCAGTCTCTCCTCCTCGTTAGACGGGTAACAGGGGCAAATGACACATTTCACAAATACTGCGTACACTTTTTCTTTTATTTGAGTCAGAAAGTTTCCAATAAAGAGATATAAACATACCTCATCAGAATTTTCCAAGATTTCCATGTCACAAGTTTAGCAGAAGAAGTGAGGGTGCAGAAGAAAGTTGTTTCTGTTGTATGACGTTTCATGGCAACGTCAAACAGTGTATACATAGTTCAACCAGAGGGGGCGCTCTTATGTTAAATGCCTAAGCAAAACATTAACTCTATTTCTACGAGGCTCTTGCTAATACCAATAAATAATATGCAACGCATAACTTCACCAGAATAATGTTAAAAAATAAGCACAAATCCTTCTCAGTTAAGAATACGCATCCTTTTTGCCACATAGCATATAATTTATCTTAAACGGGTGTTTCAGCTTTCACCGCGACTCTGTGCTGATGTCGTTGCGCTTTTATACAGTGTTTTAACGTAACAAGTAGTAACCTCAAGTTGCATTCAAGTACAACCAGAGTGACTTTACCCCGTATTTTAACGCATTAATACCTGTTTTGATTACCAGGTATTAACCTCAATCAAGAAAAAAAAAAAAAAAAAAAGATTTAACAAAACCAAACGTAGAAAAGATGTTCTTGAGATTGAATTTCTGTATGACAAAGTGAAATAAAAAATTATTAATCTTCTACTGTAACCCGCACATTTCCCCACAATATAAGTAACATCGCTGTTTTGAAGGGGCCCGGTCAGTGTTCAATCTCGAAGAGTTTAAATAATTTTAGAAATGCAACGTTCAATAACAAATAAAACATTTCTCTATTATTATTGATTCCCATTTTATTTTGTGTCTTCATCGTTTAAAGCCTTTCTCGTTTCTTATCACAAACAAACGTCTTGCATTAATGAGAACATATTTTTTATCTAAACCTGTAAACATTCATAGATATAATAAAGGTTGGAGTAACATCAATTTTGCACGAGTTGACTTGAATGCACCGTGAAGTTTAAAATGCAGCCTTAAAATGCCTAGAATCGCAACTGCAGTGGTAAAACGCATTTTGACATATGACGTATTAATTATTATTTTGTGTGATATGAACAAATGTGACACATAAAGGATCATTACTTCGCCACATTGTAGGAACCGTGTCAGAGTAATTCATGTAGTTTTAACATAAAACTTAAGGCTGTGAGGTTTTTACCTGCAAGTCAAGACTCTGGACTTACAAGACCCAACTGAATACGTCACGCTACACAGGAAGTGTGGAACAACATCAGCTTGTGCGAGGAGAAACACGCCTCCTGGGTCAGTCACATTTGCTGTCAAGTAATTTGAGACAGTTTATGGTTTTCTTTTAACACTTTGTTACCAGTTGCCGCTGTTTAATCACATTATCTCTGGCTTATTTCAAGACGCTGTGTTTTCCGTCCCCGGTAAGCCAAAGGCTAATGTTGCACGGTGGCTTTTAGCATGTTGTTAGCTTGTTTTCAGAGGTTATTACCTGCTCTGAACTGTCGTAGTTTTTACTGTAAGCTTATTTAAATTTTTATTTTATAATCTGAGCCAATCGGGTTTACTTATTCTTGTTCCTGCTGTCTGTATTTTTATGTATTTCTCTTTCCCCCTTATATTGCAGAACACCTTTGCATCAGAAAGATGCTTCTTCGGACATTGTGGTCGAGACTGGGAGCTCGGCAGCTTGCTGGGAGCAGACCAGTCTGTATTGTTTCTTCAACCACTCTTACCCAATATTTGAAGCCCAGCAACAACGAATCTACCCCAATGATTAACTCCTGGTCATCTACAGCCACAAGAACCTTTTACTTAAACTCATTTAATCAGCAGTGCATGCATAATCCTACACCTACAAACTTCATATGTAATCAGGCTCGTTTTTATTCATCTAACATTGTACAGTCAGTGCTAAAGCCAACCTTAAAACCAGTAATAGTGCCTCCTACAGGAAAAAGACCTCCTAAAGGTCCACGAACTAAACAGCCTTCTCGGTCCAACCAGCCTTCAAAGAAAGAGGATGAGGTGATGAAATTAGTGATTGTTTGTTTTCCCATCGGTTGCTGCCTGGTTCAGTCATTAATTCAGGTGTTATTTTGTCTGCAGGATATGATGCAATGCATAGCCTTTGCAACAGCAGACCAGTATCATTTGCCAACACTCAGCCACGACTTGATAAACCACGGCTTTCAAGAAATAGATTTACCAAGAGGTACTAGTCAAGCAGCTGTTATATCACAACTTGACTCTGAGGAACGCTGCTTTGAGTTCTTCTCACTGCCCTGTTTTCATTTCAGATGCATCAAACGTCCTGGTGATAAGCACCGAAAACGCTGCTAAAGTGGACGACGACGCTCTTATTTTTTTCTTCAGGTAGAAACGACGAGCTTCGTCATAAACAATAAGTGTTTATGACTTTCTTTCTTCTTCTTTTTTTTACATCTTTATTGTATATTTTTATATATTAAAATGACATCATAGTTGTTGAATATCATTTTAATTGTGGACTTTAGTGATTCGTGAGAACCACAGTTTGCCCACACCGAGGTCGAAATGACGATACAACAAACAACTTTATGGAGTTTCAAAGCAAAGAGTTGGGTTCACAAATTTGAATTTATTTCATTTTTCTAATCTTTAAATACTCAAACATATAAATACGGGCCCTAATATGTGCATGCAGCCCCGTTAATGTTTAGATAAATGCCCTTTAGTAGATCACACCTCACCTACACACATTCCAATAACAACCTCCAAGTAGTATTATGCCTTTTTATTTAGATTTTGTGGTGACAGTGGCCTTTATTAGTTATATATTATGTAATATTGATAATAGAAATATCAGACAGCGAAAGGAGAGAGACTAAATGCCTTCTGGGACAGAAGAAATAAAGACTGAGAGCTATTTAACCACTTTGACTAGAAGTATGTTTAGGGAATCTGAGGAAAGGCTTTTAATTCAAAGGACACACAAATCGTCAAGCATGGTGGTGGCAGTGTCATGCTGAGGGGGTCATTTAGCTGCCACTGTCACAGGTGCATTGCACTAAGTGGTTGGAGTAATGACGAAGGAGGATTACCTCCATTTTTGTTGTTTTTTTTTACTTCACTTCAAATCCACAACTAGTTGGTCGAAACTTGGACACCGTTTACTGGTTCTAGAAAGACTCTGAACACACAATCAGGACCGGTTCAGGAAGGACAGCCGTCTGACATGTAGTATTTAGAATTAACACAAATTTTCTTTGTTGAAAATGTGTGAACTTTACTCAAAAACGCAAAATAAGGCCGATTGAATGAGATTTACTTGGTCATATTTCTGGCCAGAGTTAAACTGGGATCTTGTTGGTGGCTACAAAAAAAAATTACTGCAACAAACTCGGAGACATTTAACCACATATTCAGGTTTGTGTTGAGCATTTAGGTATAAGTTTGTGAGAAAATCTGCTCAAACTGTAAAATCAACAATAATTGGGATTGTTTGTTGTATCATAATTTTACCCTGGAAAAAGAAATGTTGGAATAAGTAATTAAAAGCCAATAAATTTATAAATATTTTGTGAATGTTTCATCAAGATTGTGTAGCTTGGTCTAAAACATAACCTGTGTAAAATTAAATTAAAGTTTGAATCAACTGGAAAAGAAGAAACTCTTGTGGAAATTAGTTTTCTATAATTTTCTGATTCTCAGTGTGAGCCTTGGTGTTTTGGAAATCCTTGTTCTGACGTTCCAAATCTGAATTTCAGGGAAGGATCCGTCGTTTTCTGGAATGTCCAGGAGAAAGAGGTGAATGTTACCTTTAGCGTTTCCAAACTGAACCCGTTTCTACATCAGATCACCTGTTGACAACGGAGTTTGTTCTCGTTTTGTGCAGATGAAGAAAGTTTTGAGGTTATTGGAACATCATGAGATCCAGCCTTACGAAGTTGCTTTAGTTCACTGGGAAAATGAGGAGATCAACTACACTGTGGGAGAGTATGAGGCGCTTCAATGTCAGCCGGGGTTGTTGGTGTTCCTGAATGCTTCCTCTTCATTAAAACATTTAAATCTTCTCCTCAGAGGAAACACAAAGCTGGAGAGAGGCAACTTCATTCTTAGTTACGACATGGATCAACAAGAGGCTGTCCTGGAGAAATTTGCATTTTCAAACGCTCTCTGTCTGTCAGGTGAGAATAGGTGAATACTACTGACTTGCTTTGGGTTTCGGTTTTAAGCACTTTTTTACTCTTAGTTCTTTTTTGTTGTTTGTTTTTCAGTAAAGTTGGCGATATGGGAGGTGGCTTTGGACAACTTTGTAGAGTCAATTCAGTCAATCCCAGAGGTACAATGGACATGGCGGAGAGAGACTCTATGCATATTTTATGATGCCTAATGCCAGCTATTTGAAAATCTAAATGTGAAGTAATTTGTTTTGCTTAGATGCTGAAGTCTGGCAGGAGAATCAAACTATCCTCTGCTGAGGTTATGCAGAAGATTGGAGAGCTATTTACGTTGAGGTAAATTCATTTTTCTCCAAACAGCGGCTCACTCGTTTTCTATTTCATTTTTACGACTTAAGAGAAAGCCAAAGCTTTCCAATTACCCGTGGCGCCAGCCTCTTCACTTGATTTGCTATTTTTACCACTTCAGGATCGACGTAGTGCCCGTATTGTGCGGTCACGTTTACGGTCGCCTGCCTCAGTCATGACCATAACTTTAATCGTTTTTTGCTCTCTGCCTCCTGCAGACACTGCATCAACCTGAGGTCCGACCTTCTCCTCACTCCCGATTTCTACTGGGACCGAGAAAACTTAGAGAAGCTCTATGACAAGACGTGTCAGTTCCTGAGCATCAACCGCAGAGTCAACGTAAATGCAGCTGCAGAGCACGGATGAGTCATGAACAAGAGTCGTCGCGAGACGTTTAGCTCCCTTCTTTGTGCGTTACTGTCATTTGTAGGTTGTGAACGAGAAGCTGGAGCATTGCACGCAGCTGACGGACCTGATGAGGAGCCACCTGAGTGAAAAGCACAGTTTGAGGTTGGAGTGGATGATAGTCATCCTCATTACCATTGAGGTACAGTGGATTTACTTCACCCCTTTATTTACAGTAAAGAAAGATTCATTCATGGTGTTTAAAATGACAAATTCTAGATTTTTGGTGGTTTTATGTTGAAATACCAACACAAAGAAGTGAGATAAAAGGGAATTTGTCTTTTGTCCCCTTTATTCTGAGACTCCTAAATAAAATCCAGTGCAATGAATTGCTGTCAGAAGTAACCTAATTGTTTGTCCACTTGTGTGTAATTTAACCTCACGCTTGAACTGATGTGGAAATATTTCGTGTACAAATTCATGTCTTTCGATGTGCAAAACTAGCGGGTGAAAACCCCAAACACCTCCAGCTGTAAAGGTTGTTTGAAAACTGTTTACTTTTCTCTCTACTTCGCATTTCTGCACTGCAACATGTTGGTGTACCAAATAAAATCTCAATGAAATAGAAGGTTTATGTCACAATATATATATATATATATATATATATTTTACAAAAGCACTGCTTAATATCTCTGCTGTGTGATTAATCTGTGTCCTGTTCTCCTTGAAGGTGATGTTTGAACTCGCAAAAATGATCTTCTAACCTGCTGACCACAGAAAACACAAATCTATGAATGACATTAGAGACTTCAACGGAAGAATGCTGTGCTGTGCTCAGGTATTCATTCACTGCTATTTCACAACGAATCGCTGACGCAACCTGAAAATGTGAAGGGGACCCGATTAGTTTTAGGTTTGTTCCTCTTTCAACAAAGGGACACTTCTCAAACGCACAATTTATCTATAAACATGTCCATTCATCCATTGTTTACTCTCGCTTATCCTTCCAGGATGGATTGGTGCTGAGCCTGGCTAAATGTCTGCTCAGATTTTTGTTCAAACTTGTTGAGTATTTGACTGTTTTTGTATTTAAATTTTAAGAGAATTATGAAAACGTTATTCGTGTGACTCATTCATGTTAAAAGAAAGAAGAATAAATTCTTACACAAATGTGTCTGCTCCTATTTGGTCCCCCAACAAAAAGCGTGAGTTCTGTTCTGGACGTTTTGATATGCAGACCACTGTTTGAATGTAAAACATGAGCCGTAATAATCTGTTAAACTGACGGCTGAATTAAGACGTTTCAATAACACAGGAGAGTTAGGATATGTGCAGGTATTATTTTATTCAAATAAAACAATGTTTTAATAATAAAATCTTGCTTGATACACGAATAAAGGCATCTCAGAGTTGGGTTTTACATCTTGCAACTTTTGACAAATTCTTTGAAATCAGAATACATGGAATGAAAGGAAGAAAGAAGAAAACTGTTTTTTTTTTGTTTTGTTTTTTTGTTTTCCTTCAGCTTGAATACATAGCTGATTGTATCCAGATAATCCTTTTAGTTGATTCATAAACATTTGGGCAGAAAGATGGAACAAGAAATATATTATTATTATTATTATTATTATTATTAAGGCTCAAAGATCAATATTTGGGTACATTCAATGTCAGACTTTTCTACGGTGATGTGGCATGCTCCCTGTCTCCTTGAAACTGACTGAGTGGTATCTCTTTTTGATTGCAAATATGCAGAGTAGAGCCTGTATGAGCTTTAAAACAGACATTATTTACAAGATAAAATATAGTAACATATCTGAAATATGTTTAGGTCTGTAATAGAGTTTGTAAAATTGTAAAGGACTCGCATTCAAACGTGTTCATTCCCACACAAACCTTTTTGTTTCTGTCACATTACAGCCGCAAACAGCGCTGTATTATTATGACTGTGTAAAATAACGTGCAACGGTAAGGTGGAACGAACATCATGGTTTTCTACTTTGTTTACAAACACATCTCAAAAGTGTGGTGTGCTTTTATATCCAGCCCCTTTACTCAGCTAGCTTTAAATAAAATTTAGTGCCTTCTGGGTTATTTTTCAAAAACATTTCACAATCTGAACAAATCGGAGCTTTGTTTAATTCGTCATCTGAAAATTGAAAGAGTAGATATGGCACTTGTGCGAGCTACTATAATGAGGTTTTGACTCTAAAAATGAAACCACAGCTGCAATGGAATGGTTTAGATCAAATCATTTTTTGTTGTGTTAGGATAATCAAGTAGAAATCTGGACTTAAATCAGCTGTGACACGCTTGAAATGGACACTGTCTAACCAATCTGTCAAAGTTTGAGCTTTTTTGTAAAGAACAAGCAAAGAAATTTGGTTTCTAGATGTGCAAAGCTGGTAGATACCAAAACTCTTGCAGCTGTGATTGCAGGAAAAGCTCACTGTACAAAGAATTGTTTCAGAGGAGATACAAATTACTTCCACACTTTTAAGATTATTTGTAGAAAAAAACGTGTAATTTTCTTTACAAAATGCATTTGAGTTTGTGGTTGTTACTTAAGAAAATGTGAAAGTGTTCAAGGAGTATGAACCCTTTCACAAGGCTCTACAGGTGACAACTAAAAGACTGATGAAACATACGTGGTCATAAATAGGACAGGCTGTGAAATATCTACATACATTAGTATATAAAAAAGGTGTGTGCAGTGTCAGAGTACAAACGTAAATACTGCTTCCGAATTCTCTCAGATACTGTTAAAATCACTTTTACTTTTCAAAAGATAAAAAAAATTAATATAATGTTAAAAGTGGAAGAATTGGACATGATTAGTAGTCTAAGTCACACACTTTGGAACAGCCATGTTTCAGTGAGAGGTTGATGCGTTCACACCTGAAATCACTCCAGTCAGCCTGAGAAGGTCAACAGCTTCCCTGTCCGAACTTCTCTAACCACACCTCCATCATAATTAATGTTATGTTTAAAATCAAGAATGGTTCCACCACTAAATATGGGAATCGTACTGGATTAACTTGATGTCACGGGAAACGCTGCAATGGCTTTTTGGAACGTTCGCCCTTTGTTATGATTGTCCAACCTTGGAAAAGACGAGATAAAGCACCTGTTAGTCATTTGAGACAGATAATTGAAGACTAAATTTCTTAAATGAACAGTGATTCTGAAAATGCACTAAGATTTACCTGTCGTTAACCCCTGAGTCAGGATGTGTTAGCTTCATTCCACCGCGGAGACGCTGGTCCCCAGGTCCTCGAGTGCAACAGTGAAATCCTCCCCTTCACTTTCCATTTCACTCGTTTCTTTTCTCGGTGCGTCTCGTTGACTTTCTGTGTCCTCGGCCTCCAGGCTGCATGCCATCTCAAACTCCAGCTCAGGCTCTGCTTCATCCTTTTCTTCACTTTCACTCTGCAGCTTGACTCGTTCATCCACCTTTTCTGTGGATGCTTGCATGTCCTGCTGTGGATAGATGTCCTCCTCCGCGTCCAGCCAAACATCTTGATCATTTTCGTCCTCTGATTGTCTGAAAGCCCAGCTCTTTTTCGCCTCGGAAAGCAGAGGCTTTCTCAGGAACACTGCTCTCTTCTCTTGTCTTGCTGGTTGGCAAACCTCCACTGTCTGAACCTCTGCGATGACTCTTTCACTAGATTGTATTTGTTCCAATGGTTCTATTGTTTCCACTGCTTGGATACCCACATCCTGTAGCACTGGCTGACTTGCGATCACAGCCCTTTGGATTAAATGCGAGTCTGCTTCTGGTTCTGTGATACTGGTTGCCTGCACTGCAACCTCATTTAGCTCCGTCTGTTTCTTGCCTTCATCTCTTTGACGTACAGACTCTGCTGACTCCTCTGCCTGAACTCCAGCTTCAGAAACATCCACCTGCTTCACAGGTTCAATTCTCTCTACAGGTGCAGCAGAGGGCCACGTTGAGGCTTTGGCTTGAGCAAATTGTATGTTCAGTTTGAACTCTAAAGACAGGCTAGAAGGGGACTCCAGGTTGCCCACAGATGAGATTACTCCAGTGTTTTGGGGGACTGCTAATCCAGCATTGCCAGGTGTAGCAAGCTGTCTTTGCGTACTTGTCAGAGGTTCCATGGTGGTTTCATTTGGGCCCTTTCCAGTTAATTCCTCTGTTCTTGCATCTCTTGCTGCGGTGCATACTTCTGGCTTGTCAGGTTTTGCTTCCTCCAAATCCTCTTTGTGATCCTCAACAGAGATTTCTGGGCTTTGTGGAATAATTAAAGGTACCTCGGATCCTCCAAGGCATTCTTGCTCAGGCAGGATTCCAGAGTTCTCAGTGATGACAGTGGCCTCCTCCTCCTGTCTTTCGATGGCCGTCTCAGTGCCATCATTGATCACCTTCTCATCTTCCGTCTCAACTGATTCCTTTTGGTCTGTCTCACATACTTCTATCATACTTACTGACTCTTCCATGGCTTGTTCTACATGTTGGGTGGCCATCTTGGACGGCGTTTCCAGTAAGTTACTCGTCACATGCTGCATAACTTCTTGAACTGTCACCTGGATTTCTTCAACAGTAGTTTCTTCTTCAACTCCTGCAGTGGCTAAGAGGTTGTCTACTTTCTGAATGCTTTCATGGCACACATCAATGACTTCCTTATCTTCTGTAATGCCTACTTGGATCACTGTGTCAACGGCGTTCTGGGCTGATGTGATGTCCACATCCATCAGGTGCACCTGGACTTTGTGATTCACCTCGATCTCCACAGGTGGCACACGCATTGTCAAAACAGCAAAGCTCGGCTCTGCTACCTGATTAATGTCATCTAGCACTAACGGGGTTGCAGTCTCTATTGTATCATTGATTTCTATCTCACTGGCCGTTTTACTCATCAAAACTTCTTGAACCACATAAGGTTTCTCTCTTGAAACGTCTTGTAAATTACTCATAACTTCATGTGATATGAAGGTGTGATCAGCCACCTTTATCTCGGCAGCTGACAGTAGGTCCGTTTTATCCCCCTCTACTGTCTCCTGCTGCTCACAGAGATTCACTTCACTTTTAGGTTCTTCTGAAACTTCAACCAGGTCTACACAAACTGGCTGGGTTTCCTCAGGACATGTTGTTCTTTCTAGGACCTCGCCAGTCCTTGCCTCCTCGTTAACTGAGGATACATGAACTGCTGTCAATGCTGGTAACCCCTCCATGTTTTCAAGAACATTTTCTTCATGCTCAACCTTAGCATCGCATGGTTTAGTATCAGTTTCCTCATCCAGCTGCAATACATCTTTCCCCTCTGGCTTTTCTGGAGCAATGTCTTCTGGCTGTGGAACGTCTTCAAGTAACGTTTGCGTTTCAGGTTCCTGAGTCTTACTTTCCTCATCACTTGGTGCAGTTGTTGATTTGCATGTCTCTAAATCTGAGGCAATATCTTGTGGACTAGGAGGTGAACCTTCCAGTTCCACAGATGGATGTTCCTTTGACTCTGTAATAATTAGTTCTTCTGTGACCGTTTCCAATGCTGAAGTGTCATGTATCACTTCCACATCAGATGCTCCAGAGCTAATTGCTACTGCATCTGGCGGAACTGCAGCAGCTTCTGGTTCCTGAGCGTTCTCTGTTTCAGGAGCGTCCTCCACTTGAATGATTCCTTGAATCAAACATTCAGGTTCCTCTTTTGGTTTTTCTTCAACTGTTTCTGCTTTTGGTATGGCATCAGTAGGTGTTGCATCTTTTCCTAGAACCTCCACTCTGCTTTCTTCTGACGCCAGTATGTCTTCTTGAAGATCGTTTGTGGCTTCTTGTACAACATCTGTGGCTTCTTTAACATCAGAAACTTGTGTAACATCAGGAGACTCCAGTGTAGGAATTATTTTTTGTCTCTCTTTGTCAGCTTGTTCTTCACTTTCTTCAGAGAGAGACTTTAGCAGTTCAAGTTCTTCTGCATTTGTTACAGTAGATGAAATGTTTTCTAAAAACAGTGCTGACTGATTAATGGACTGACCTGCATCTTCTTCTGAAGTCAATATTGGTGCTTCTGGACATATCAGTTCTTTGATTTGAGTTGCATCTGTTTGTGGCTCTTTGTCTTCTGGTTCATCACGTTCCTCTTGTTTTTCATCCTGTATGTCTGCTTCAGCCTCTTTATTAAGGGACTGAACTAGATCCTCTTCAGATGTCACCG